GGGGAAGGAGTTCTAAACCTTAGCAGTTCCGCCAAATTCATAATGATGGGCGGCCCTTTTCTCAATATTTTCGTTTACATTCATTTTCATTTTTTTTTCCTAACCAATGTAAAAATGAATTTCCTGGGTTTTTTTCACTTTCCCGGTTCGGAATCCTGATTATTTTGAGTTTGTATACCTCATGTCCCCTTTTTTGTGCTGATATTTTAGGAAAGGCTCATATAAATGCAATCATCATTGTTATTATTATTTGATTAAGGGGGCCTGGTGAGAAACAAAACAAAAACCAAATACAATATTTATTCAACGGCACTACATGTGTCAGGTCACGCAGCACTGGTGCTACATCTGTCAGTTCAGAACAGAGCTACATGTCAGGTGAGAACAGCACTATATCTGTCAGGCTACATTTACCAGGCAAGAACAGTGTTAAATCTGTCTGTAAGAACAGTGCTACATCGGTCAGGTGAGGACAGAACAGTGCTACATCTGTCACATCAAGTCAGAACAGTGTTAAGACTTCACAGACGGCCTCAACCTCCTTGTCCTTGGTCCGGTTGGTTTATAGCGCTTCAAAATGGCCACCCGGGCTTGTTGGTTGCTGCTCTGCGAGCGAGATCTTTCTCTAGGAGAGGTGCTCGGACTGGGCAGTAACATGACGGTCTCATCATACAAAGCCTTTTTCTTCTGTCTGTTTCTGCTGAAAGCAACACCAGACAGAGAAAGCAAATGATTAACTGACGCAGCACTTTCAAATCTGTTTCTTGATACAAGTCAAACAAGTTTTTGATACAGTATGAACCTTTTCTCCGGGTCTATGCCTCGTCTGCATGAAAACCGAAAACAAAAAAAATCAGACACAATAAACCTCCCACAACTCAGAAAGTGCTTTTTAAAAAAAACAACCTCATGCTATTATTGTTAGTACCTCACTTGACTCGTTCTTGTAAAAAAAAATTACTTTTTGTGACAAAACCAAAGTGCTTTTGACTACAGAAATCCTTATCATTAACTATTGTTACAACAACCAAAAAAAACACCCCTACAAAAAGCAATGTTTTCTTGACCATTTTCACATACCCCCAAAAAAGAAGGAAAAAAAGCAAACTTTTATTAAATAGTGGGTATAGTATAAGCTGCCAAAAACGGATCTCCACCGGTCTCTGTTCTGGGCAATCTCTACTTCCAGTCTGCTGTGAGCCATCTGTCTGAGACTGTTTCCAGGTGAATCTTAATCTTCCTCCCTTCCATCTTTATACTGTGCACTTCGCAGAAAATGTTTGGTTGCTTTCCCTTTGCTAGAATGTGGCACATAAATGAAATGTCCATAACACCAGTAATGAATGGCTGATCTCAACTAGGTTTCCCGACTTTTCCACAAACCATTGAGAGAGTAAAAAATTTGCAATGTTCATGGGCTTCTGCATGATTTTGAACATTTCTGCTGACCCTACCTTTTCTAAAGAGGCAAAACAAAACGGATGGACTGATCAGAGGAATTATTTTTAAAGAAACTTTGGAGTAGGCCCATACTGTATCAAAACAAGACACAAAATCCAGACCAAAATAATTCTATTATTGAAATGATTCTATCCATCAGAGAAAATTGCTCCATACGAAAGGAGGCTAAAATATACATCCGCTTTAAACAGTACTACTGTTTGGGCTTTTGAGTAGAGAGGAGAAGCAGTAACGATCATTATTTAATGCTGAGGATAGGCAAGACTATCGGCAAGGTAGGCAGACAGAAACAACGGTTCACGAGCAAAGAAGACCTACCCATGAAACAGTAGAATCCCCCACAGTACAACCGTGACTGTAGACAACTTTATTTCACATTTATTGTGAAAACAGCACAACACTTTAAGAACTGGGTTATAAACAGGAAATCCTGAAGGATTACAGCTGTTTTGGATTAACATTACCCGTTTCGACATTAGGATTTGAAAAGGCTATAAATGGAGCAGAGCCAAATAAGTTGATAGGAAAGTTAAAAAGACACACACCAAAAATATACTTTTGGGGGAACAAGACCTTTTAGGTTCTTACTTTGTTTTAAAAATACACTAACCATCAAAAGACAGGGAAACAGGCAAAAATTTGGGCAAGTTTATAGAAAGCTTACAGATTAATCAAGTCACAGTAAATAAAAGAGAACATAGCATCCCTTTTCGTCCGATTCTGTTACTATTAGTTAGCGTGACTCAGCAGCCCGCTGGAGCTCCCCGGCTCAGGGTCATGGGGTTAATGAGCACTGAAGGGACTTTGCTGTTGTTGGTTAAGAAGTTCGCATTTTTGTCTACATTTGAAATGATATAATGTCTTCCCCATCCCACACAGCAAAACATTACACTGTTGTACTAAAAGTTTGAGGTCTTGAGATTTATTATGCGTTAGAATGGTAAATTTTTGTGACTTGGTTTTTGTTCTAGACAAATGTTTGTAGAGTACCCAGAATAAATTATTGTTTATTTCAAAACAGCTCTCCAGATCTCTCCAGAATCGGTGTTAAACTGACTACGTATATCATGTCTGTAACCATGAGAAATCTTATATCTGTGCAGGTAGTAATAGTCAAGTTAGAGGAAAAGAAAGATGCACATCTGTATTTTTTGACAAAATACACCCAACTTTTGTAATATTTTACCATTGAACAAGAAAAAGATACTGTGCGTTTGTTCATGAATTATGCTATGCCTGGGGCAGCCTGAATACAACCAAGAAAGGTAGGCGATTTAAAAAAACAACACAAAAATGCGGAAATATAGGGGTAGAGATAAACTTCTTGTATGGAATAAAAACAATGACAGCTAACACATTCATTCTTAGTTTTTTGTGTCGCACATATGCACGGACACTCATAAATGTAAAGAAATCAGAACATTGTCAGTTATTGCAAATGGCCATAGAAACTAAATAAAAGCTGGAAACGTCTGGTGCTGATTCAGAGTCACTGGAAAGCAGGAAATTATTCTGAAAACCCAGTTATGAGAAGTCATCCCTGTTATTCAGTCAACTAACAAAATCTAGACCTAGCATTTTAAGAAAAGTAAAGAATTTCTTAAGTGTAAGATATTCTGTTCATGTATTGCACTGTAGATGTATTCTGGCACTAAAATCAATTTGTACTTGTTCATAGAGAAAATACAGTGTAATTTTTATAAACTTTCGAGAAAATATGTGATTATTCACGATTGTATTAGACACCTAAACTTGTTTGAGAAGGAATTACTTCTTAGTGCCAGAGACATAAAGTTGCAAATATACAGCTTTCTATTATCTGCGCAGATACTGTCTTTTCTGAGTATTTCCATCAGCGTTATGTCGTTCATATTCCAAAAGTTTGACAGTTTTTGTTGAGCTGGTTTTTTTAATAAAGATTTTATTTTCATTCACACTTGTCCTAAAAATGTTATTTAGCATTGCCGACTTCAGCGTGTCTAACGAAATAACTAGACAAGTTACAATGTCCATTCTTTTTTGAGCTTCAAGAGCAGAAATGCATGCTCTGGGTGCATGAAATGATATTTACCCTAAATACAAGGACACACCTAAAACTTTACTTTGAAAAGTACAAAAAAATAAAGTCAGCCCAGAAAGGGCGGAGACAGGGAGCTGACCCCAGCGACCCTGACATGATCAGGCGCTCAGTAGAGAACCCCCCGCTGCAACTAAAACTCCACTGCTGGTACGCCTTGAGAAGCATGCCGGCAAATTAATCACCATTTACATCTAGTGGGGGTACTTGTGTAGAGGTAGTGTTCCTTTCTCGATCAAAAGGCCCTGAGATCAAAACCTGCCAGCAACAAAAAAAACTTCTCGAAAACATTCCCTTTTGTCCTCCTTCCCAGTCCCGCTATCATCTTCTTTCATCTTCACTTTCTCTGTCCTCTAGGATTCTCCCTCCCTTACTCCAGACTCTTCTGCTACACCTGTCCCCGTAATGCTGTCTTTCAGCCACACCCCTGATCTTAGGGGAGCATCTAGTCTTCTCGGCTGAGCACAAATAATCCCGGAGATCCAGTGTGCAAGTCGGGCGCATTAAAGGTCCCTTGGTGATCCTAAAATTAAGTAACCCATGCAAAATTCAAAATGAATTCCTACCAAAACTGAAAATACATACACAAAGAAGAGGAAGAAATTTAGATCTAGTTTTGGGTAAAAACAGATAGACATACGAATGCTGGCAAAAAGTATGCTTTCATGAGCAAAAGAGCAGCAAACTGAAATGTTAATGGACTGGACGTTTAGTGATCAGAAAGAAGAAGGGCACGCAAAAAGTGAAAGATCAAAAGGATCGGATAGTAAAGAAATGATAGCCACACTTTCTTGAAAAGAAGCATGCCACCACATACCGAAAGCCAATCACCTCCAGCAAAAAAGTAATTGCATGGGTTTAACGCCCCTATCTACACAACCCAGGCCATCTAGCTTGCCAGAGACCAAAAACTCTTTCTCCCCTCGACGCCCTAGAAGGTACAAGAGGAAGGATAGAGTAAAAATAGAGTAAATAAACCAACACTTTTAGGTTATTGTAAAGGCAAATAATGTCTCCAATTAGGTACCCCAAACCCCCGCCTCTGCACAGTTGAAAGCGTGTAGGAAGCTCGAAATTTGATCATTTTTAATCAACCATAACTCATCTCCTTTGACATCAATCTTCACCCCGTTTCGAACTATTGTTTTTAGCTAAAATCAAACTATTGTGGGTGGCACGGAATGAGATATTGTATAGTAGGCTATCTAAAAAGGTCACCAAAATGCTCAGGAATGCGTTTTTCGCGTCCATTTTCATGCCGGCCGCGGCAACAAAAATTTAGGGTGTTCGCTTCATAAAATGCCTTTGCGCTAAGCGCCTATAACTGCTATTGTCATGAAACAAAAGTGCAAGAATGAGCTTTGAATAAGCTTTCACCCGGTTACAAGCGCTAGTTGCTAAAGTTAGTTGTTAACCCAGAAATATCGGGAGTTTTGGAACCTATTTTAAGAATGGAAATCTCCAAGTCTGACCAACGATTGGTCGAAAGAACCCTGGACTACACAAAAGTAAAACATGTCAAGGGAATTGTGTGCAAAAATGACTACGATTGGTCGAACAGCTGTTTAGCGCCGCTTGTTTTTGTAAACACACATGCTGGTCTTCTCTCTGGCGACGCGCTTGATTCATCAATGGCAAAGAATTATTTACGTGCACCTATTTTCGATTACGATCTATTCACGTACATAAGTGCATATCAAGGGCTGCATTGTGCTTCCAATCATGGATATGGATATTCTGGAGATGTGTGGTAAGTTGATTTCGTTAACTAGATTGTTATAGCGTTACATAGTTCTTCATAAAGTCATCAACCTTTGCCTGACCTAGATCTAGCTAGGGCTTGAAGCCGAGATCGCAAACATGCGAACGGGTGGTCTCATTCCTATAATTAATTCAGTACCCAGTATTGTAAATCTGCTTTGGATAGAAAGATAAGAAGCTTAAATTGCTTGAAAATATTGTGAAATCTAAATCAATTTGTTTTCAGTCTTTCAAAATTAGTGTTATTTTCTGGTCCCATGACCATTTTTTTCTATCGATGATTCCGTAATGGTGACCTCTTTTTAAAGATCATAACAAGCTTGATGAACTCGTCTGTGAAGGGGTTGCAGCTGGCATTTATTCAATGATGAATGAATACATTCTCTTGAATATCGCGAATATCTGACAAAGTCTTTGATAACTAATTCATTTAGTTGTTTTCTTTTTGCCAGTATCTATTTTTAGTCTCGTGAAACAAGTACCGGCACCAATTGAATTATTTTTATACAACTTTTAGAGGCTGGTTTACTGCTGAAAATGGACTCTCCTACTCGAGAGCTTCATTCATCATAATTCGTGAATATCAAATAAGTCGGTACCTTTAGAATTGCTAGATCTATTCCTGAATAGACCCAATTTATTTAGATTAATGAGCCATGGGGAATTTGAACTTTGTTGCAGATCTAATTTGTGTCTCCTCCACCTTCTCCTTGTCCTGGCCCTTGATTTGAAAAATAGGCTCTGCCCGTGTGGGAGCTTCTGCCCAATTTTATATTTTTGGAAAAAAATCATCGTTTTGAGGTTCTTTCCAATTAAAAAAAGGTAATTAGAATTGAGGAGTTTTTGTGTGTGTTAGTGTATCTGATCTGTCATTGTTGAATATTTACTTTATTAATGCCTCATTTTATCGCAGTTTCATTGCAGAAATGGATTCCTGGCCCAAAAACACACAGGAGTAGAGCATTGGGGGGTCTTTCTTGGTGTTCTATTGAAGTTATAGATGATTTCGTTGAAATTATGCTGAATAATAATTTTTTTTCTTATCTAACCTCATATCATTGTAATGCTTCATGTTATCACAGAAATAATCAGAGAAATGGATTCCTGGTCCAAAAGTACATAGGCATGGAAAGTTTCATACATTTACCATGATTTTTGATGATTTTATTCTGAAAAGTTTTCAGGCCATGTGTACCGTGTTGCGACCTGTTTATAACGCAAAATTGGCAGATTTCCCATTTTTTGTGGTTCCATAACTGATTAAATTGAAGTGCCAGAACTCTGTGAAAAAAATTGGGCTATGAATTTGCATTACTGTGAATATGTTCTGTAAGTTTTATTTCTTTTCAGCAATAACTTTCCATTTTATTGACGTCTGAAATCAGTCTTTTTAGCATTTTTGAATTAACATTATGCATCAAGGAGTCATTTTTTTCCAATTTTAAGTCTCTGTATTGGCTTTATTTAAACTCAGATTGTCCTCATCTTAGTATTTTGCATAGTTTATACTGGTAGCTGTTGAAACCAATGATAATACAAACTTTATGTACCTCAATAAATTTTCTATGAACTCACAAAATCGCACTTTTTTACGTGATTTTAAAGTTGCCAAAAATTTACGACGTCCACCAATTTCAAACGCCTGTCATTTTTTTAATTTATTGTCCGATTTCTATAATTCAAACACCAAAGTTCATGGCTTGCATAGTTCTTTATCATTATGGTGCAACAAACATGTATGATTTAAGCACTTTGAAATTTGGGTTTGTGGTACCTACTCCAATAGAACCAAGCCAAGTGGGATGAGAGCCTTGACAACTCCATAAAATGACCTGAGTTCAAGAACCCCTCAGAAAACTAGTAGACAATACTAGAAATTACTATTAGGTTTTTTTTGCTTGCCTAGCATGGTACAGCAACCACTTCCCCCTCATCTTAAAAAATAAGCAGCAGACAATGGAAATTACCTTTTCTTGCTGGCCTGTTGTGGTAGAGCTTCAGAGGCCACTGTGGGAGCAGAGAACACATAGACTGGACTGACACTCCCCTCCCCATCCCCAACCTCCTCTGTCTGTACCAGCTGCTTGACAGGGGGTGAGAACACATAGTTGGGCTGGGCTGTCTGTGCTACATCTGAGGAAAGATGTGTTCACGGTTGTAAGTCAACATAGTCTTCTTTCTATAGGGGGGTAGGCCTGGAGGAATCTAAAATCTCGGTCTTCATACAGGACGAGGCGTAGACCTGGATGAGTGGGTTCATACTGTATAAAAAAAAACTTTTTTAACTCATAATTTTAAGAAAGAAACAGACCTAAAAGTCTCGCTTCAGGTAATTATGGCATGAACTTAATGGTGATCAGTGGTTCGGAAATTTTCTTTTTAGTTTTAATATGTGAGGCAGCGTGGTGAAATTAAGTGCTCGTCAAAATAATGAAAGTCAAGAAACTGGCACTTTGTCTTTGAATTTTTGTCAAATTTGTGTTTTTTGGCTTTCACGCCCATTAAAGAACATATTTCTCTGTGGATTTTACTGAAAAATGTATATTAAAGGCATAAAAGATATAAATTCTCAGTTTCTACGAATTCTCAAGCTAAGGAAATAACTCAAGTTTGGTGGCCATTTTCTCGCTAATTTTATCTATGAAACCAGTCAACCCCAACCTCCTTTAATAGCAAATATATTGACTTGTATCCAAGATAAAAGGATATTTTTCTCTTCAAAAGCAAAGCAAATGGAGAGGCTTTAAGATAATACTAATAACTCCATATGCCCTAAAATTGACGAGCGCCTAATTCCACCACGTCGTGACACATATGAGTTTCATGGCAATTGCAACAAAACAAGGTCCTATTCTGACTCAGTGTCAACTCATGTCTAATGCAGGTCCTTACTTTGAGGTGTTACTAGAGGGTTCCATACAAAGAACAGAGGAGAGACAAGGAGGACAGATATTTGCCAGCAAAGAACAACGAAACCACACCAGTGTCTGAGACTTTTCCAACACACCAAAAGAAGAAAAGAAAAGTAAAGAAAAGAAAAAAGGAAAGAAAGGAACTGTCAACAGAAAAGAAAGTAAATTGGGCTGTTCATTAGCCTCCCACATCCCCAAGATAATCATCCGTACCTTGTAGTTGATCCTGCTCTAACGGCCACCTGTATAAGACAATCACTTGTACAAACGGTCACTTCCCACGTTACCCTAGCGTTAGACGGCCACTTTTTTCCTCAACTGTCTGGGACAATTTTGACTCTACTTGTATCTCTTCAAATATCCGTCTGCCTTGATCAATATCAGTTGTAATACGCAGAGTGTTATTTTGAGCTACGAGGCTCAAAAAGGCAAAAATGTGACTTTCAAAGACTTTTTAAAAAATCTTTTGAAAAGTTGACGTTTTCTGCTTCATTTAAGACAAAAATAAACAACTATAATCAACTATAAATATTTTGATTTCATTTGGAGGTGTGTGTGGTCAGTTTGAGCTCAGGTGACGAGGTAAAGGAAATAAGACCTCAGAACCCTTTCGACCATTTGACGTGCTGGTGTGCAGCTGTGAGATTATTTATAGAACCATTACCTAATGGCCACATAGCTTCAAAGTCCTTCATTCGCCCCCTATTTTTAAATTTCAACCCCTTTTCGAGCATGAAAGGTTTGAAATGTAAACAACTCGATGTCACTATACACGGCCGAGGGCTCTGATTGGTTAAACTAGGTAAGTACGGTAACTCCTGGCCCTCTTCAATTTTTTAAAATGTAAACTGCTGATTGAGTACTGCTATCGTCTGTTGATTTTTCAGTTGGATTAACTTTGAAAGTTCGTTTTTATTGTGTTTTAGTGCTTTAAAAAAAATTAATTGATCTTCCTCTAAATCTCTCAAGGCCGACTCCTTACCAAAAGGCTACCAAGGTGGTCTATGTGCATATGTCATGAGTACGAGTGCACGTGTGTGTGTGGCTGAATTACTGCATTATTTTTTCAAATTGCAGGGAAATTATAGTTTTTTAGAATAATGTTAACTCACTTTTAAAATTTCAGTCTAATGACTGATTCTGACTGGCAGGGACACAAAAACATTTAGAGATTGGATAATCTTAAGCTTCACCCAGTTCAGATGTTTCATTTTCCATTCTTCACAATATGAAAAAAATGAAAAGCCCAAAACCCAACCAATTCTTAAGTTTTTGACATGTTAGTTTAAAAAGATGATAATGTGCTTTAAAAGTTGTCCAGATATTTATGTCAATTTTTTCAAAGAGTAATGTTTTAAATACAGTTGAAATTGTGGAAGACAGCCACCCATTGGCAGGGACAAAACTGGCCATCTCACATAGTGTTTATATGTTAAAAAACACAAGGACGGAAGTGGGAAGTGGCCGTTTGTACAGGTGATTGTTATATAAAGGTAACCGTTAGAAAAGGTGCAACTATATAAATTCAACTTTAATACACTCATCAATTTCTCATTTTTTAATATATCAGCAACGGGTGCTTTCCACAAAGTTCTTTAAAATGACATTAACACTCTGCAGTCACACAGCCAGAGGTAGGAAATACCCCATCTGGTCACCCAGCCAAGAGATTGACTGCAACAGACTTTTTGGGCGTGGCGCAGAACTGCCCCAGCTGACTGGAACGAATCATTTACACCAGCGCATTATTGCGCCAAGTGACCGCAAAGTGTTAAAATGACAATCTACATTATCAAAATAAGAAAAACTTAATTTGAACGAACAGCAGACGTTTTTAATTTAATGAATCCAAGAATAATATATAATTTCCCCTAGGAACTCGTATTCCCTTTAAAATATACCAACCTTCCTTCGTGGTTCTCCTTTTCAATCTGTGTTGCTTGGACTCATCTGAGGACTGGGATTATAGAAAGAAAAAAATACATTAATTAAAGGATAGCGTTAAAAATCAAAACCAAAACAACAAACACTACGCTATACATCTGAAATGAATCAGCCAGTCTTATGGTTGCATCAGCATTAACTTCTTGTCAAGCAATAGGTACAGGATTTTAAAACTTTTGACACCCTCTCAGTCCAAACAACTAGGACCATAACCAGATGTGTAAATGGCCCTCTGGAAAATTGCCTGAGAATCTGAAGGGGTGTAGCCACGCCAACGGTGCGGCATTGGAGCAAGGTTTAGCTAGGGCAGTCCGGGAGTATGCTCCACCGGAAAATTCTGAAACATTAAGGCTTCTACACATTTTAAAACAGCCATCTGGAGGCATTTTCAGCTTGGAAAAGTACAGGGTCCCCACCAAAATCCTGGAAAATTTGTTCAAGACCCCCACATTTTTTTCAAGACCCCAATTCGAGGGAAAAATCAGGCTGCTGCGGGTCAAGAATGATCCCCAAAAAAGCCAATCTATCAAAGATAACAAGTCAAAATGTCTATAAATGAATGCAAATATACATTTTGTAGTATAGTCTTCAAACAATAGATGACTATAATACTGGGTGACTGCCAACCCAGCTTCTCAATTTTCCAAGGGAGGGGCCTCATCCATTTTCCAGGAACACGTTACATAACAATGAAAGTGTGTGCTCCAATTATATGTAATATAATACATGTATATGTTTGTATGTATGTAGTATAGGGTTTTACGGCGCTCGCAACTGCTAAGGTCATATGAGCGTACGAAACACAAGTTGTTTACTTTCGCAAAAGTTCACAGCACGATTGGTTAACTAATTGACTTTAAAATGCTAAAATGTTAAAATATTAAAATTCAGTGTAAATATATTTGTGATTTAAAACAACTCTTATAGGTAACAATAAAAAATTTTAATAGTACGTTTTCATTTTTCGTTTTACAACTTGCCATAAAGGCCGATGGCCTTTATAAAATTCAAAATTCTGCTGGGAACAACGACGGAAAAAATATCTTGCAATTTCTTGCATTTATAATATTTCCTTCGGATCTCTCCAAAGTCTAGACATTCGGTTAAGATGTGCCTAATGGTAAAATCTGTGTCGCATCCGACACAGAACGGCTTCTCATCTCCCTGTAGGAGGTATTTGTGGGTCAGGGCCGTGTGTCCGATGCGCAATCGAGTAAAAATGACTTCGTCTCTTCTGGAGAGGTCCGAAGGATTTCGCTGTTCTAGTTTGGGTTTAATTTCATATAATTTATTATTTTTCTGCTTTTCCCAGTGGCTCTCCCACAGACTGGAGGTGTACTTTTTTAACTTTATTTCTAAAGTCAGTCTGTGGGAGAGTGTTTGTCGTTGATCCCAGCAGAAGGGATGAAGCTTTCTTCGCCAGGTCGTCTACCTGCTCGTTTCCTCGGATGCCCACATGGCTGGGTATCCATGCGAACATGATGTTTTTTCCTGTTTCGGATAGTGTATGAATTTTCTGTTGTAGCCTATTTTTGGGTGTAAGAGTGTGTAGTTTGTGAGTGAGGTGATGCAAGACAGAGAGTCAGAAAGGATAAGGAAAGATTTGTTAGGAGAATTTTCTACAGAGTCCAGGGCCATGTCAATGGCAGTGGCCTCCGCAGTGAAAATGGAGGCTTCAGGATGGAGTCTCCTCTGGAGTGTATTGTTGGGAGATAGGGCTGCAGCGCCCACTTCATTGTCTTTTTTGGAGCCGTCCGTGAAGATGAGCTCCGCACCGGGGTATTTATCTATTAGTTTTTTTGTATTCTGCTTTAAAATTTTGGTGTTTGTGCTTTCTTTGTTGTGTGTGGTCAGCTGTAACTACTGTAAGTCTACTTTTGCCTTGGTGAGGTGCCACGGAGGGAGGTCGGGGAAAAGAATTTGTTGGATGTCATGTTTGGAAAAGTGTAAGTTCTTGAGGTCCTCAAGGATTCTGAGGCCGAAGGGTTTGATGAGTTTTTCATTGTTTCGGAATTTGTTTTTGGTTTCTGGGTTTGTTTCAAAAATGCTGTTGTGCGCTGGATTTTCCGGTGTTGAGCTCTGTTTAACTGCGTATTGTAGTGAGAGTTGTGTGCGTCTGAGTGAGAGTGGTGGTATGTTGGCCTCGGCCTGGAGGCTCTCCACCGGGGAAGTGCGGAAAGCCCCCAGAGCGAGACGGAGTCCTTGGTTCTGTATTGGGTCTAGCATTTTTAAGATGTGTGGTTTTGCCGATCCGTAGACTTGACAGCAGTAGTCAAGCCTGGACCGGACAAGGGAGATGTACAAGTGGAGAAGGTGTTTTGAGTCCCCGCCCCACTCCGGATTCGATAGAATTTTCAAAGCGTTTAACACTTTCTGGCACCTCACTCGAAGGTCTTTGATGTGTGGTATGAATGTGAGTTTTTTGTCGAAAATGACGCAGAGGAAACGAGCTTGGTCCTGGACGGGAATCCTTTCCCCGTATAGTGTCAAATCCGGCTGCAGCACACGCCTGCCTGTTCGGCAGAAGTGTACTGCAACCGTCTTTGACGGGGAGAACTTGAAACCGTTATTGTTTGCCCACGTTTCGAGTTTGTGCAGCTGCCTTTCAATAGATCTCAAATGAGGATTTTTTTGAGGGCAGCATATCAAAAAGTCGACAACGTATAACGAGCTGTCTATGCTGTTTTGGAGGGTTTTCACTATGGAATTTATTTTAATTTCGAATAGGAGAGGAGAAAGGATGCGCCCCTGAGGGACTCCTTCCTCCTGTTGGTGGGGGTCTGAAAGGGAGGATCCGACACGAACCTGGAAGGAACGGTTCTTCAGGAAGTTGCCAATGAAGGCAGGGAGGTGACCGCGTATGCCGAGTGCATGCAGGTCTCGAAGAATGCCGTATTTCCAGGTTGTGTCGAAGGCTTTTTCTAGGTAAAAAAAGATGGCGATCATGTGGCCTCTTTCAGCGAACGTCTCGCGTATAAAGGTCTCCAGGCGGACCAGGTGATCCAGAGTGGATCGGGTTTTCCTGAATCCGCACTGGAGACCGCTCAGCGAGCCTGTCGTTTCCAGAAACCACATGAGTCGCCTGTGAATAATTTTTTCAATCAGTTTGCAGAGACAGCTCGTTAGAGCTATAGGTCTGTAATTGGATGGGTGTGTGTGGTCTTTGGTTTGGGTATTGGAATGACAGTGGCGAGACGCCAAGACTCCGGAAAGGAGTGCGACTGTTTCTGAGGGTAAGTGTCTAATGATCTTGTTGTGGATGTCATCCGGTCCCGGGGCTGTATCGCCCAGGTCCGAGATGCACGATGTTAGTTCGTCTATTGTGAAGTCTGCGTTGTAGGTTTCAGTGTTGTTTTAGTGGAAGTTTAGGTGTTGTTTTTCTCTGTTAGTTTTGATGTTTTGAAAAGTGGTGTTGTAGTTTGCTTGAGATGAGTTTTTGGCGAGAGATGTAGCTATTGTGTTTGCGATGTCTACTTGTGTTTCAGCTGTGGTTCCATCCGGCCTCTGGACGTGCCGAATGGTGTCTGTGCGTCTACCTAAGAATTTTTTTTAGCAATTTTGAAAACTTGGTTGAGTGGTGTCTGGCTGTTGATTTTGGAGATGTATTTTTTGAATGATTGTCTTTTACTCTCCCTGAGGCATCTACGTGCCACAGCTCGAGCTTTTAAATAGTATATCTTGTTTTCTGTGGTGGCGTTGTTGACGGCCTTTCGATATGCTGCCTTCTTTTTCTTTTCTGCATCCTCACAGTCCCAAGAGAACCAGATCTTGTTCCTCCGGGGTTTTGTTTTTGTTTTTGGTATGTGTTCGTGGCATATTTCTAAAAGCTTTTTGTGGAATTTATTGTAGTTGAGGTTGAAATTGGGATTAAGAATCTGGGAACATTGATTGGCAAACCCGCCCCAGTCGGCTTTTTTGAAGTTGAAGCGTTCTGGGATCGGGTTGTTTTGGAGGCTATTGTTTTTTAGAAGAATTGGGAAATGGTCCGTACGGTCATCCAGCACAGACCACTCAAGATCTGGGACTAGGTCAGGGGTACAAAAGGTGAGGTCAAGGGATGAAGTGCCATAAGTGGCTCTGTTTCTGTAAGTTGGGGATTTATCATTTAAGAGACAGATGTTATTTTGAAATAAAAAGTTTTCTATTATATTTCCTTTCTGGTCTGTAGGTTTATCTCCCCAAAGGGGGCTGTGGGCATTGAAATCACTTAGCAAAATAAAGGGTTTTGGAAGCTGGGCCTTTAAGTCATTTAGTTGGGTTATTTTGAGGGGGTAATTTGGTTGGATGTAAACTGAGCAGATCGTGATTGGTCTGTGCAGCGTGACCCGTACGGCAATAGCCTGGAGGGTCGTCTTAAGATGTACTTGTCTGTGGAGTGTGTTGTTGTCGGTGTAGATGGTGGTACCACCGGAAGCAATCTGGTTCTCCGTGTGAATGTGATGGTACGCAGCAAATCCTCTTAAGTCCATGGTTGAAGCCGAGGCAAATTTTGTTTCTTGAATACAGGTCGGATTCCGCCGGCATTCCATTGCAGGACCGCCATTATGTCTTTTTGGCTTTGATTTTGGAGTTCAAAGGCCCCGGCTTCGAAGAAACACTCTGACTCCTCCCTGTGGGAGAGTCAGAGTGTTTTCCAGGCCGCCGTTCTGGATCGGCGGTCCAGTGAGGGACCTGGAGGAGTGACAGACTCCGCCCTTCCCAGGGTCAGGCCGAGGAGGGGGGTCGGAAATGTCATCCTCCATTGGTAGTTGGGGGAATGGAGGGGTAGGGGGAGGTGGAGCAGACAGTGGGGTTGGGATGGGTGCTGGGGAGAGGGGGGAGGGAATACCTCGCACTCCATCAGAGAGATGGGTTGTGAGGTGGAAGTAGTAGTAGAGGAAGAAGAAGAAGAAGAAGAAGAAGAAGAAGAAGAAGAAGAAGAAGAAGAAGACGAAGTAACAGAGGAGGGGCGAGGGGGAGAAGGGGGGTGGAGACAAGAGTCCACCCCATCCTCCCCAAGAACCCCAAAGCGGTTATTCATTGCCACCCGAAAGGTGGGTACCACAGTTTTAGGAGGAACCTTTTTGTGTTTCTGTGCAGTAAGTCGCTTGTTGACCGTGGGTTCTAGGGGATCGACAGTGGAAGCACTGGCCGACTTCGTGACTGGCCGGAGTATGCTTGCGTATGACCGACCAGGGACCGGGGTCATACCTGGCCGGCAGACACCTTTACGGGCTTCTTGAAAAGAGCAGCCATTTCATGCTTTATACTCTTTGATTGCCCGTTCTTTGATCCAAGTCGGGCAATCCTTGCTGAAGGCTGTGTGCTGGCCTTGGCAATTTGGGCAGCAAGGACTAGCCTTGCATTCCTTTTCAGGATGCCCAGTCTTGCCGCAGCGAGGACACACGGCTGCACGTCGACATCACGACTGACTATGGCCAAACTTCTGACACTGAAAGCAGCGTAGAGGGTTTGGCACATAGGGTCGCACGTCCAAGACCAAGTATGATGCCCGAACGGTGGCTGGAGGGCGGCACAAATCAAAAGTTAGAATTATTGTGTTCGTTCCTAGCGTGGACTCCACCCGTCGAATAGTGGCTTCGACCACACCCTCACAGTTATCCACAATTTCTTTGTTTGAGCAGCCCTTCAGCTCATGGCTGCGGACCACGCCCTTCGACTGGTTAAACTTCTGGTGTCGCTCGGAAACACAAAGAACACCACCGAAGGTCATAATCTTTTCAAGTCCGGCCAGTTCTTTATCCGATGCGCACTTGATGAGGAGAGCACCAGAGGACAGTTTCTGGACATTCGTAGGAATGTATCCCAGAACCTGTCTTAGAGCATCTCCTGTCTTGAATATGTTTAGATCAGTGATCTTCTTCTGCGCATCGGTGCTGCGGATGGTCAAGTATGGCTGCCGCGGAAGCTCCCTGAGAGGGGGGAGGGTAGAGGCAGATGTAAAAGTCCTTTTTCCTTTAGGAATTTGTTTGCTCGGCTTGGCGGCCGCACCTGCTTCCGCGAGCCGAGGCTTTTACCATACAGTCTAGATAGCTACACATTACACAGGCCCTATCCTTTCCCGACTTATCGACCCATCACAAAATTCCCAACTTTTTCCCGACCTTCCGACCCATCTCAAAATTCCCAACTTTTTCCCGAACTGGTGGGGACCCTGAAAGTAAAATATCAGACCAAAAAGAAAATCTATATTGTCTTTTGAAAACAGATAGTACCAGCTGGTCCCCCTTTCAATGAAAGGAATGATCGGTGCTTTAATATCAGCTAAAAGTCATTGGCCTACTATATTTACACTCTACTGGAATGGGGAAACAAATCTTGAGAAATGCAAAAAATTAAAAGGTCTAGATCTATACTCTGAAAACAAAATGCGCCTCGCGAAATATCACTTCCGGATTTTCTAAAATTACAGGAACAGAAGCGTCGGCCTACAAAAACAATTGGCGAAATAAAGAAATTTAGCTTTTTGCAGCAAAACTTTCTCAAAACTGAAAAAACCAAGGGCGTCATGATCTAGAGAATATTTTAAAGAATTTTTTTGGCGAAAACCGCATGTCGATCGATGCAGCCATTAAAAAGCCTTTTGAATAGCAAAATTCGGCCACCACAAATAGATAATAGAAATCAACTGGGTATCACTTAGGCCTACTAAGATATTGAGATCCACGGGTATCAGGATTGTGAGACATCTTTTTGGGACAAAGAACTTAGATATAGATCTAGCTCCAGTTCCACACTCGTAAAGTCACCACATCAATCACTGACTCAGTCACAATGAAACACACAAATAGATCTAGTCTTATTTTAATCAAAAAACTTTTCCATGGCAGAAACAAAAAGTCAAACTGTGAAACAGCACTAGATTTACATTCTAGCTTCTACTAGTAAAAAAAAAAAAATACTTTGTCGGCAGAAAAAAGAGCACCTTTTTCCTAGTTCGCATTTCTGTTCTTATATTGCCAAAATACAGTGGAACTCGGATTCAATGAGAACTCGGATTCAACGAGATGAGATAGATTCCCTAGGTTTTTTTCTTCTTTAAAATCAATAAAAATAACACGGATTCAATGAGCACTTATATCAGCGAGCTCGGATTCAACGAGGTCGCTTACAGGGTGAACAGCCCCCGCAGACATGGCTTCACTCATTTTTTCCCCAGAACGAACTTGATCTATTCTCAGAAACCATCAATTGCACCTGCATCGTGAACCATTATTCACTTAGCCGATTGCATGCGACCAATCAGCGGCCTTTTTCCCTACTAACACGTGCGTTGTTGGCTCGCGCACGTGTCTACTCTGGTGTGTGTCCGGGTCGGATGGGCGGGCGGCCTGCACAAGTGTGGCTGTGTGTGCGTGTCGGGGATGGGGAGGGTGTCACTAGCGGTTGGGGCGTTGAACGTCGCAGATACAAATGCGTCAGTCTTTTTTTCCCCTCGGCAACTGATCACTATTACAATGATAAGCTAGTCTTGACGTAGATCTACATAATGAATTGTGCGCTGGTCTATGGAATCAAAAGTTGCCGTATGCTAGGCTCTACACAGCAACACAACTTTTTGGTAAACAATCGAGATGACTCAGGCGTTTGCATTTGAAGGAATCGGTCTTTTTTTTTACACAGCCCATAAAATGCCGGCATTTCAGGCACTACTTATGACTTCTTTTTATACATTACTTGCTCAGTGCCTGTAATTATCTACACAAAACCTCATGTTTGCTATAACGAACACTCGGATTCAACGAGATTTTAAGTCAGGCCCGGCGACTTCGTTGAACCCGAGTTCCACTGTAGTAAATTTTGCCGGAAAAGTTTTGCCGGCCCGGAAAATTTTTAATCAGGGTAAAAATTATTCCGGCAGGTCTGCATAACATATCCCTAGTTACATGACTCAACCGCCTAGCTACATGATTTCCCGCCTAAGTCACAAAATTTTCGAAAATCACTTTTTGATCCCCTCATGTAGTACAACCTTTGATACACATGTTAAAACCCGCAGTTTGAAAGATTACAGCAAAGTGTTTTAATCCTTCAGTAAATCAATTGCCCATATCACACCAATCCCTGCCCAGTTTCCACATGTGTAGCCTGCAGCATATGGGCAGTTGAATCTAAGTAGATTGAGTGGCATGATGAGCGTAGGCGAAACGACCCACGCAATTGTGACTTTTGTTGAAATGAACGGGATGGTAGCATCTAGGGGAAGGACTGCCTTGGTTGACATCCACACAGATCAATTCCTACCAGCGATCATACGTTATTGTCCAGGCAGTTTGCGTAATCAACCAGTACCTACATTTGGTAGCGTTGTCGAGTAAGGGCAAGAAAACATAAAGAATACGTTAAAACTGACTCGACCACGGTAGGTAAATTGAGGCAAAAGCTACTGACCAATTTGATTTTTTTTTAAAGTCTACGATTGACAGCTAGCTAAAGTGCACTGAGTTTTATTTTCGATAACACTATTTTTATCAAGACTGTTCAAGTTTCTTGATACACTTTAAGAGTGTACTCCTTGCTGGGTGTGCCATGTATCATTCTTGACTCACTGATCAGTTTAGTTGTGCCAGGTAGATAATTTCACTTTTTAAGTTACTAAAATTCATACAGAAAATTCTCTTCGACAGAGGTCCACGATTGACATATTACCAGAGAGCAGAAGATGACAATCAATTTGTGAGAAGTGATTCTTTTACAAACTTAATAAAATAGCTTTCTCCTTACTGCCGGCAGAATGCAGGCAAAGTCTATCTTGAATCATGTAATCACGTTTTCTAAGCCTTGTAAGGCCTTTAGGGGAACCAAAGAAAATCGGAATGCATTGTCCCAGACAATTTTACAGAGATCAAAAAGAGCAACCGGTTGTTGCATATATCTCAAAAGGATCAAAGTGATGAACACAAGGTAGGAGAAGAAATAAAAAAAGAAGCTTGTACAAAATCCAGTGGATGCGACCTGATTGTGTGTAGTATGCATGGACTTGGAAGCTGAACTGTAAGCACCGACATTGATGAAAGCATCTGCTGCACTATAATCATTGGGACCAAATTAGCTGTCTATGACTTAATAATTCTTTAAAATTTGGTCACCAAAGATGTGAAGTGTTATGTTTGGCACAAACGATAAGGACCATTGATTGAAAATGAATCTTCTTCTTATGACAATAGTGCTAGACATGAGTTGACAACAATTTTTGTTTTATCTGGAACAAATGCCGCTGATAACATTTGGCAAGGTAGTTTTGTGGTGTTGATAGCCGTCACTGTTTATAATGAATGTGGCATATTTATTGTCAAAAGGTTCTTCAAGTAAATTACTGCCCACCACAAAGGGCCCATACAGCACAGCACCCTTTGCTGAAGTCAGATTAACATTTAAAAAAGCTCAGGACCATAACAAGTGATCACCCCTCTAAAGTCTGTCTTAGAAAAAAGTTTTTTGAAGTATTCATGTGACCAAGTTCACCTTCCACTTAAGAATTACCCTTACGCCCAAAAAAAAAAAATTGCTTTACATACCTCAGTCACTGTATTCCCTTCCTCCCCAGCATCAAACCGAAGAGGGGGCATGTCCTCAGACCACTCAGGCATCGATTCCTTCTCCTCTCCAGTTTGAACACCATCTTTCTCTTCCTCAGTTATCTTCTTCATGGCAGAGGCAGAAGACACTCTGGTCCTCTTTCCAGTCTTGCTTGGCGTTGTTCCTTTTGTTCCAGCTGTGAACAAAGGACAAAATTATCAAATAAATAATCATTCTATTAATAGAAAAGCTAGTTGGAGAACACAGTCTTTACAAATAAGCACACTTTTTTTTGTCACAGGCTGAAAAAAATGATAAGATAGAAAATCTTAAAATATCCCAACTCTTCAAACAGTTGTTTTAACTTTATCACCATTATATTGATGCAGCAAATGTCAGATGTCTCAGACTTGTATGGAACTGTTTTTAAAATCCACAATATGCTATATGGTATAAATCCAAAAGGTGACTCACACAATGTTGGCTATCTGCCAAAAGAGAAGCATACCAATACAGCAATAGTCATCTAGTGCCGAGAAAACCAAAAATGGATGAACAGAAACAAACAGAAAGGGAAATTTAATATTTATTTTGAACACCCCCATTGACATAATTTAGATCATTTAGGAGATGGGCCTCTAATCCTGCCTGCCAGGGCCAACCCAGCAGAGAAAAATCCAACTTCCCAACAAAAAGAGAAATACTTGATAAAATGTTCTCCGAACTCAGTAATCGAATTTGGGATCTTCTGGGTGCTACAATGAACCCCAAGCGCCCAGCCACTACACCAGCCACTGGCCCCCAAAGCTCAAAAAGGGAAACATGACAATCCAATACACTGACCAGTGTGTCGGTCCGGGGTCCTGCGTCTGGTCTGAAACACTTCCACCACTGAAGAGCTGTCCCTACTGGGTGTCCTTGACTCTGTCGACGAACCTCTTTTCGACCGCCTCAAGCCTGCCCGGTCGGGACTTCCAGGACTACTCTCCCGAGACATTTCCTTCGGTGACAGCAACCTGTTAGTTTAGTTTTAGTTTTAGTAAAGGTTCTACAGCCCTTGCAAGACACATTGGTCATGTAAGTTCCTTAGATTAGAGCTGTTACTAGAGAATGACTTACAAAGAAAAAAGAAGAGAAGAGGACAATATAGGTTTGATAGGAAAGAAGGAGCAAAACACACTAGCAAACGACCCACAGCGTCCTGCAAAAAAAAAAAAAACTCCCTGTAAATATGGTGTTTTCATTGGAGGTGCTTTATGTCCAATTCAACTCGTTTTAGAATACAAACCTACTGGTAATTTTGTTCAGAGAAGACTTGACCATCTTCTCTGTAATAAAATACTGGCTTAGGGGGGGGGGGGCTACACCCCCAAAGTCCCGATTCGGCTCAAAATTATGGAATTTAAGTTCTAGGCTGGTGGGGGGGGCCCCATAGTTTTACTATGGGGGAGCAAAGAATACACCTGCCTTGATACTGCGTGTCGTAAGAGGCGACTAAAAGTGCATAGGTCTGGTCGCCCGAAAAGTGCCAGTTTGCGGAGGGCCAACTACCCAACCCAGTAAGAAACAATAAGTTACAGAAACACGGACAAACACAGCTTTTTATTTTTCGAGCTTGGGAGACGGAGGAGCTTCAGCATCAGCAGGAACAATGAAAGACAGCGGACAAAGCCGAAAGGACTCTTCTGACCCGAAACCTTGTCTGTCGAACAAGTCTCTCCAGATTGCGTCGTGGAATGTTCGCACCTTATATGAATCAGGAAAAAGTTCTCAAATAGTACAACAGATGAAGAGATACAGGCTGCACATACTAGGAGTCAGCGAAACACATTGGATACAGTCTGGACAGAAGCAGCTCAGCTCAGGGGAACAAGTATTGTATTCTGGGAGGGAAGACAAGCACCATGCGGAAGGAGTGGGAATCATTTTGAGTAAGTATGCACAGAAGTCACTTAGAGGATGGGAACCACATGGGGAAAGGATCATCATGGCTTCATTCACTACAAGGAACAAGAGCATCAACATGAACATAGTCCAAATCTATACCCCAACAAACGATGCTTCGGATGAAGACAAGGATGCCTTTTACAGCCAGCTCCAGGGGGTCATCGACAAACTACCAAGGAAGGATGTCAACGTCATAATGGGAGATGCCAATGCCAAGAGTGGTCAGGACAACGTGGGGTATGAAAGAATTATGGGACAACATGGCCTGGGACAAATTAATGAGAACGGTGAGCGATTTGCAAATATATGTGCTTTCAACAGTTTTGTCATTGGAGGCTGTTTTTCCCCACAAGAGGATCCACAAGGCCACATGGGCTTCGCCAGATGGAGTGACGGAGAACCAGATAGATAATTTTTCAGGGTGTCCAGCATTATTTGCTGAAAAAATTAACTACCTGGAAGAAAAATCTACTACCCAGCTCGAAAAAGGGATTTAATTTGCGCCATCACTAACATATATTATCATTACACAATATATGGAACGAAAATAACACGCAACAACGTCCTGTCAGCAAAAAGGAGGATAGACAGACGATCACAAGCTTGCTCGCCGCTAGATTTAGTTCTAGTTTTAGTCATGTTTTTACAGCGCTCGTAACTGCATAAGGTCATATGAGCGACAAGGGGTGGATGTCAACAGAAAAATCCAAATGGGCCATCTCTGCTCACCTTTCTAGCCTCAACAGCACAAAGTCTGCTTCGACTATCAAGGCACCCCGGAAATAGTGGGTCACAAGAGTGAAACATACAAAAGAAGTAGAGGGAAAATGACGCTAGTAATGATGAGAAGAAAAAGCAGCAGTTCCCCCTAGGCCTATGTTGTTATGGCACAGCATAAGCATGCCATTAATAAATCAGCCCATACTTACAATTCTACTGCGCATAAGAGCATGTTAATATAATGGGAGTGGCCTAAAGACAGGGGGTCATCCATTTCCCAGGGGCATGTTACATAACAACATACACACGTAAAATATACCCAGTCAACATGTCAGTGTCGCAAATTTCCATGAGCAATAAGTGTGGTATTCATTACGTAAGACATGTCAACAAAATCTAATATGGTCGCCGTATCCATGGAAACAAAACTTTTCTCAAATTTGATTGCAGATTTTAAGACTCCTTACTATGCTTGTTATATGTGTGATATTCGGTAAAATTTGGCCAAGTAATAAGCGAGAAAGCCTTCAAGTGTAGCCCCCCCCCCCCCCCCTCCCCATACTCAAAATTCCTCCAGACATACTTCTTTGACCTTGACTTAAAATAGGCTGTGCGGGACACTTTATCCCAGTCAGAAAACAAGAGATAAAATGCCTTCCCTGCCTGGAATGGTACAGCATTTTGCTTGAAAGCTGAAGAGTCAACCTATATTACATCACAGACAGCAGTGCGATAGAAGGAAAGACCTGACAAGATAGGCAAAACAAGATAAATAGGACAGTTTTGTTAACTTTTTGAGACACAAAAAGCATTGATGTAAGCAATGCCAGACATTCTCACACGTGATGGAGATATTCATACGACAGGACAGAACATAATATTTTAATTTACAGAGACACTTACCATTTTAGCCCGCAGCTACCTTAACATTCAGTTTCAGGACAAAAAGAATTTGAAATGAGCTCATTTGCTGAACTCTGTTGCCACAGAGAGAGTATGTACCATTCCTAACATTTCTAGAGCCAATATGATTGCTAGATACAAAAGGCATACTTTTCACATGGTATTTACATTAGCATTAACTATTTTCATAAACACTACAAATTTTAAAAAGACGTGTTGGTGGCCCTTACAAGGATCATAACCGCGCAATGCAGCACACCAGTGACACGGTGATCGACTCATGTCCTGGCAAAATTTTCTATTTTGGCAATATGAGGATGGAAATGCTGAGTAGGAAAAAGACGCATTTCCGGCTGCCATTTGCACTTCCCTGAGGCTCGGTCCATTTGATGTGTACACCTTCGTTTTACAGCCTTAGGGAAAAGCAAATGACGGCCGGAAATGCGCCGTCTTTTTTTCCTAGTTTGCCTTTCCGTTCTTATACTATCAAAATAGTAAATTTTGCCAGAAAATGTTTGCTGGTCAGAGACCTTTGCGGCCGCCTGGCCAGGGCGGGAAAATTGGAGTCAAATTGGCGTTTGAGTCAGAGTCTAATTGCCGGGGAGCACATACACCTCTGTGTAAAATATTTTGTGAGAATTAAATACCACATACTTTCTAAGAATTCAGTAATTCCATCACTCTTACTGTAAGAGCACACCAATGCACTTTCAGCATTTAAAAAAGGAAAGACAGAGCTTATCATACCTGACAGGGGAAGAAGAAGAATGGACGGGCTCAATATCGTCGGTGTTCAGCCGTTGTGGAGACTTGGGCTTTCGTTTTGACCTTCTTGTGGGGGTCAATGGAGCCTCTGGGTTTTTCACAGTGCGACTATTTTCTTTCAGATCTCTCTGTGGCGATGGCTGCTTTGGTGAGGTAGAAGTGGCAATTGGACGTACCGACTCAATCTCAGATGTATTCAATTTCTCAGGAGACTTGGGCAGTCGCTTTGAGCGTCTGGTTGGGGTGAGGGGCTCGGACAACGCTGGGGCTAGGAATCGCTCGGGGGTCTTCGACTGTCGACGCGACCGTCGCAGGCTACGATCAAGTATGTCCTCTGACTGTACTTCTAGTGTGGCTTCTGGTTTTGATGGTGACTTGGATTTACCCCGTGTCTGCCTTCTGACAGAACCTCTAGCTGACATATCCTCAGAAGACACTTCTTTTGAGATACCTGGTTTTGATGGTGACTTAGACTTCCTCCTCGTCTGTCTTCTAGAAAATGTTTCAGAAGTTTTTAGCATCTCTTTTTGCATGCTGGAGCTGAGACTTTGATCAAAAGTATTGTCTTCAGAATGCACTTCTAGCAAACTTTCCGGCTTTGAAGGAGACCTCGACTTTTGCAGAGTCTGTCTTGTAACAGGCGCGTCAGAACTTCTAGCTTTCACACCTATTTGATGTATTTCTTTTGTAAGGGCATTATGAACTGTCTTTGTTTGCGTCTTCTCCTCTTCTTCTTGTCCCTCAAAAGACGAGACAATGGGACCTTCCTTTTTACGTCTTATCCCCTCTGACTGCTGCGTCATCACAATCTCTGAGACTTTGTGTCCAGTTCTGTCCGGTGTCCTATGGCGAGTAGATCTCCGTGTACCCACAGAGATAGAAGTCTCATGAGCAGAGTCTCTCTCTGGTGTCTTTGTCCTAGAAGCAACAGAAAATGCTCGACTCTCTCTGGACACACTGACCTCTCTTCCCAAGGTTCTTTTCCCTTCAGCCTGCCGATCTGCTGCATCATCAAGCACAGATTCACTTTCATCAGTCTCCAGCACAGATTTGGCCAGCTGTGAGGTTGACGTGTCAGTAGTTCTTTTCTCTCTTTTCTCTTTCTGTTCACTTTCAGACCCCAAAGCCAGTTTTGCTGATTTCCTGGCAGACCTATCTGGAGTCTGTCTTCTCTCAGAAACATCTGTTCTCTCTTCCAACGTTGAGAAACTTTCACTAACCATCATTGTAACTTTTACGCTTTCTTCCCCAATAAATGTTCTATTTTTGGCAGGGGATCTATCTGGAGTTACTTTTTTTTTAGGCAGCACAAGCTCAATTGACATTTCTGCATCTTTAATATCTAGATCCTCAACGTTTCTATCAGGTTTTTCTAGCTCTGAGGTTTTCCTGGACCTTTTCCTGTGAAGTTTTTCCTCCGTTTCAGATCGCGCTGGGGAAGGCGTAGTTGACCGTGTGCGCCTTTTAGGATAGTCTTGATAATTAAACATGTCTTCCACTTTAGAAGACAACAGTTTGGCCTTCCTGCTGAGGGGAGGGGTTGCAGGGGGAGGGGAGTCGGCTCGGACAGATTTTCTGCTCTCTGGAGATGACTCAAAATTCACATGGGCCCGCCTTGCTGTCGGCGACAGTGATGTGGAAGATATCAATGACCTGAGAGGAAGAGCAGATCTTGACATAGAGGAGACAATCTTATCTTCGAGCTGTGTGTCCACCACTAGGCCCGAACTCAGCGCTGGACCCGACCCACTCTTCTCCATGCTGGGGCTGGAGAAGGACTTGTGGGAGGTGACCAGTGTCTGCTCGAGGAACGTGCTCTCTGACGTTGCGAGGATTTCCGCTGTTGACAAGGACATGGCTGATGTGGTCTGTAAAGTAGTAAAACAATAGCAGAAGATTTGAGTCCTTCAGAAGCAGAAATAGAAAGGTCTGTAAACTCAATATCAATGTGAAAATCCAAATTCAGTAACCAGATAATCCATTTCCTGGCAGTTAAAGAAGCACTACTTCATGAATATAGATGCAGGCAAAGCAAAGTTACTATAACTTATCCCTTATCTGAAGGAATACCACTAAGAAAAATAATCAGTATACTGGTAGACCATTTTTGTTTAAGTGAGAAAACATAAGCAAATAATCAAAAGCAATACCAGGAGCCAAAAATTGTGTAGTTATAGATTATGAATTTCTGTTGTGCACATTATATTCGCTGGCGCTGAAAAAAAACTAGCCATGTCAGGTCATTAAAAAAGGAAAACAAGAAAAAAAGAATAAACCTTTTGCACAGTGACCGAAACAAGATTGGCACCATTGAGTGCAGCCTCCTGAGAAGTTTTAGGCACAGATGAATCCATGGGGGAAGATGTCATACTCACAGCAGGTGGGCCCAGCTCTGTAAATGAAACCAAAGCAATAGTCCAGTAATGTCTTTTAGTTTAGTTTTAGTAGAGGTGTTACGGCGCTTGCAACTGCATAAGATCATATGGAGGTGGATGTCAACAGAGAAGTCTTTACAGGGAATCAGACTTACTCTGCTCACTTCTCTAGCTTCAACAGAACAAAGTCAACTTTGACTATCAAGGCACTCCGGAAAAAGTGGGTCACAAGAGTGTGACAAACATACAAAAGAAGTAGAGGAAAATGACAATAGTAAGGATTAAGAAAGAAAAAGCAGCAGTTTCCTGTTGTAGATCAGGCACAGTTATGAGCGTGACATTGATGAATCAGCCCATTTACAATTTTACTGTGCACGAACGAGAAATGTCCCCCCTTTGGGAAAGGCCTAAAGACATCAGTAATGTCTGATATCAGAAACATTAACAGGAGTACAACTGACTTTTCTTGTTTATCTCAGGGCAGCTGCAACTCACCACAAACCATTTTAGTTTTAGTAAGAGTTTTATGGCACTAGCAACACAATAAGGCTAATAGAAACGCTGAAGTTGACGAAGCAAACATGTCAGAGTCAGATTGCAGCAGCTAAAATTCGTAACAAATAGATCTGGATAATAACACAGTACAGCTAATGTAATGTCCATTACTTACGTATTTTAGAGAAGAGTGGTCACTACTGGTCAGTAATAAAGAGTACGTCCACCGGTACAGTCGTGTCTGGCTCCTGTTGTTTTCAATGTCTGTCTAGATCTACATGTTGTGATTGTGAAGTCCCGACGGTACAGCTAATAGGCCTGGACGGGAAGTCTATTCCCAAATCAAAAGCCAAAGGAGGTAATTCCCCTCCAGTGAATACAAGTATTTATAAAAACTTTTTAAAAAGACTAAACAAATTTCAAAATCTTTGAAAAATTAGAAAGAGAAAGGAATGTGATTTCAGAAAAAAATAACTTTAAATGCACAGGTTCTTGGAAATGTTCTAATTTTACTTCAATCAGGGTGCCCAACCCGTCACTCTCACTCCGACTCGCCGTCTGGCTCTAGATCTAGAATCTACCCCTGATCAATCAGAATCGTCCCAACATTTTCATCAATATTTGATTCATCCGATTAATCACTTATTTTTTCTGGCTCATAAACATTGTTATTTGCTTGCTTTATCTCAATTGTATTGCTTTTCAACTCATCAACAAAACTTCGGAGTATTCAGATATGCAATCGTACTTTAATTGGCTCTAATACTAGAACTGCTGGCATGTTACTTATATACATCATGTACATTTTTTTTCCATATATATGAATCCTGCTATGAGCCTGTGAAAGGGCCAGGGGGCCAGAATATCAACTGTCAAGAACCAGTCCAGATATCATGATTCATATTACAAAAACGTAAAAAACAAAAATCATTGCCCGTGGTAGAGTAATACATAGTAACTGAAATGGCTTACGAGACCTACTCTGTGATGCTGAAAATCTGTAAATCTTGAAAAGATAGCTAAAATACCCATAATCACCCATTCATGACAAGCGCTCCCTTCTGTACAATAACAAGGCATTATGACTTTGATCACGTTTTCACATAAGGCTTGCACCAAAGCGCGCTTTACAGAGAGCTCCATTCGTAGTTCTAAAATTAATTTGCTTCTGAGTTTTTAGCCTCCACATTGTGTCAAGCGGCCAAAGGCATCTTTAAAAGAAAAAAGTATTACGCTTTCTGTATTTTTTAAAATATTTGTCTTTTTTTCCATACGGGGCCTCACAGTGACGAATACAGATATATTTGCATGGCAGTATTGCGTTTATACGTATAATGCACAACCTGCATGTCATAACTGTTACGTTATCAGACTATAATCGGAAAATTCTGGGTTGTAACTAAGCAAAAGTAGATCTTGATTTCCCCAATCCAGCCTTGGTATTATCAGGGTGTCCAGCAATATTTCCTGAAAAAATGTACTACCTCGAAAAAAATATTTACTACCCAGCAAATGAAGCCCCACACCAGCTCGAAAAAGGGAGTTAATTTGCGCCATCAATAACATATGGAAAGAAAAGAAAACACAACAAAGTCCAGTCGACAAAATGGAGGATAGACAGACGATCGCAAGCTTGCTCGCAGCTAGATTTAGTTTTAGTAAGGTTTTTACGGCGCTCGCAACTGCATAGGTGATATGAGCGACAAGGGGTGGATGTCAACAGAGAAGTCCAAACGGGGAATCAAGCTTCGACTATCAAGGCACCCCGGAAATAGTAGTTCACAAGCGTGACAAACATACAAAAGAAGTAGAGGAAAATGACGATAGTAAAGAAGAGGACAGAAAAGGCAGCAGTTCCCCCTACACTGGTCCAGCACAGTATGAGCATGACATAGATAAATCAGCCCATGTTTACAATTCTACTGTGCATAAGAACATGTTAATATCCTCCCTTTGGGAATGGCCTAAAGACGTTTCAGTCAGTAGCACTGCCCTGGTGGTGGTGGGAGGGGGAGGTGGGGGGTAGATTTATACCTAATGTGTACACACAGGGTGACTGCCAAACCGGCTTCTCCATTTTCCAGGGCCATGTTACACAACAACAATGCGCGCACACACACAGACACACGCAATGACTCGAGTAAACCTATTCAGTGTGAGAGGTGTAAGAACTGTGAGAGGGCAAGAGGCAGTGACACTGAAAATCTGCCAGTCTTGAACAGAAAGCTATAATATTGTTCTATAATATTATTCTAATTTACTATCACCCAACAAATGAAACGCGAACACTTTATTTCAATAACACGGCCTACAAGGTATGAAGCATCCCGATTCCACACAAGGCCTTCACCAACGCACGCTTTGCAGAGGGCTCTAAATCTAATCAAACTTCTGAAATTTGCTTACAGTATTTGTCCTCTGGGGTTGCCATGAGCCACTCCCCCCTCCCCCGAGCGTATCTCTTTTTTAAAAAAAATCAATAATCCCTGCCCTACTCCGTAGTCCTATACTTCGCAACACTCAGACTTTTTAATGAACTTTGGCGACCCCAACAAACGCCGGTGCTCACCGATGCCGTACCTTGTAGTGCCTCGCGCGAAAGTTCACTGACCTGCCACGTTGGCGAACCCGACAATCTAAAAATCGGACGAAGCTTGTATTTTCTCCCCCCCCCCCCCCCCTCCCACACACACACACACAAGTGACAGCACGGTGAAGAGTCAGAGTAATTATTAATTTCATTTGCACGGCGACACAGCGTTTATACTGTACAACCTGCATATCACAAATGTTGCGTTATCAGTTTATCTTCGCCAAATTCCAGGGTGGTAACGAAAGCGAAAGTAGATCTTGATTTTCCTAATCGAGCCTCGATGTCACATACACTTCCACCTGCTGCCATAGCCGACTTTTCGCGCGAAACGTACTCTCGGATGGGGAAAAGGTGAACGAATATTATATCACAATCGCAACCGGCAAAAACGGAGTCATGTACCGCGGCAAGGGTTCCCTGAAAAGTCTTGCTGGCTTCTTCACTCAGTATGCAGGCTAATTTACGACCGTTTACCAAATTTTTACTACCTTCTAGGCAAATTTACTACCTTAACGACCGGGGCGCCGAATTTTTTTACGACTTTACTGGTCACCCTGTATTATACATACACTTCCGCCCACCGCCATAGCCGCTTGCTTGCATGAAACGTACTCTCAGACCGCGGAAGGCTGAAGACAATATCTCAATGAAGTAATGACTTTAACAGATTTGGTTTCCAATTATTCGAGAACTTCATGTATTTTCCCAGGTCTTTCTCGGGGCAATTTACAGATTTCCTCAAATTCCCGGGGCATGCCTGGGGCCTGGCAGTCATCCTGGTGTCACGTGTAAAAACCCTGAAGTAAATGGAGAAAATCATATTACCCACTTTTCTGTATGGTGTACAAAGTACTTAGTCAAAATGAAATAACAGGCCACAGCTGTAACAATAATTACATTCAAAGTTAAACTGACAGTTGGTTGGAACCCCTCAGCTGAAAAGAAGGAGAGCCAAAGCAGAATAAAAACACTGCCTCTTTTAATCACATCCATTAAACAAAGCACTAAAACCTCACCTTCTGTATGATGCAAGTTGAACGTTATTTCATCATCAACAACCATTTCTGTTGTGTTCTCAGAATCTTTCCAAATTGACTGCAGATCAGGTCGCTCAAGCTTTTCAAAAGAGTCTCCATATCTGAAAGTCATTATATGAAATTCAGAAACACAAAAAGGAGGAAGACATCTTCATCACTTACTCGGAGGGCGACAAACAAGATTTAGATTATTTAGGACCTCTCTATCATGGTTGTCCGAGCCAACCCTGGCTGACTGGCATACACCATCTCAGTAGAAAGATAGAAACCATAAAAAAAACTTCTGAACACAGGACAACGGGTTAGAACGAATAGAAAAATTTTAAAATCTAGAATACTTTAAACATAGTTTACTGGGCTGCGGAGTGATCATATTACCAGAACCGAAGATGCCATCTCTGAGAAATCTTTTAAATGCTGTGTTACAGTACATGTTCTTAATTAAGCAATCAATAGGACAGGGCTAATTTCAGTTCTTACATACATACCCTTAGCAAACAAATATTAGCGAAAGTTTTGAGGCAGAGAACGACATACAGAAACTGGGATAGGTTTGTTTGAAAAAGCTAATCAAAGCGAGTATTCTCATCCCTGGTTCTGAGGGAGTGCTGCCAGGAGACAAGAACACTCATCCTCGCTCAAGAGTTACAGATCAGAAAGCACCATGTTCACAACTGGATCAATCAATTACAACCTACAGTTTAGCAATGCCAATCGGGCTTCTGCCACTAATGATATGTGGAAGTTAAAGTTCATACACATAAATTAACCTATACTTTTGCTGTCGGGAACACTTTCGTATGGAGTGTACCGAAAACTATAAGGAGCTTGATATTCAACGCGGAGATGGTATTAGATCTATCTTTCCTCTATAGTGTCCTCAAATTTGAACATTCTCTGTCAAGTAGTTGATTAGACCCAATCATAAATGCACGACTACCCCCCTATCCAAAGCGGCTTCGTACGGAGACCGGCCATTTTCCCCTCACTCCCTCGGCAAATGTATGCAACCAACAAATCCCTGCATGACTATTCTGAGCCTGTTCATTGGTCACTGGAAATAGGTTGTTTTTCTCTCTGTTCCCCAGTAACATCGCAATGGGGGTCTTCCGGACGAGCTTCAGGATGTCCGCGTATCAACGGGGGAAAAGAATTTTTTTTATTGTACTGCATTGAATTAATTTATATTTTACGGTTGGCATGGTCAAAAGTCATCAAAGAAAGCTTTGCCATTATTTAGTCACGCTGCCAACATATTCTTAAAGATCCCATGTTGTGAGGCGATGCTATAAATAATATGCTCTCATTCCGACACCCCTTTTTCGCAAAATCGTAATATGCACATCAAAATTTTAATTATAACAAAATAACTACGAAATGGTTAGTAATCTGACTGCAGAAATGATTTCTCCACCCAAAAACAAATCGAGTAGCAAAGTTTCTTTCTAACACTCCAACTAATTACTGAGATATTGTCGATTTTCTTACAGAATCTTCTATTGCGTGGTCCACTTTTAGGAATATTTTCCTATATGTGGGTCGTCCATACTTTGCCAACCTTTACAACCCCATAACTCTTTTATTTATGAACCGATTCTTAAAAATCAAGAAGCTTAATTCTTAGAATTTAAAATTCTTTCTTAGGTAAAGTAAAGTTAAGTTGTTCCCGCATCCGATCCGGACATTGGGGATTGCCTTGTTAGTGAGACAACTTCCTGGGCATTCGGCATATTGTGGTAGGGTGGCCAGTTCCTTTCCACATCACCTTTACTTCCACAACTCGAAGTCAGATACCCATTACTCCTGGGTAGGCAGGAGGGGGCGAAAAAAATCTGTGTCCGAACCGTGAGTATCTTAGGTACCAAATAAAAAAGGGCTAAAGCGAATAATTAAATTTTCATTGGCATAGCTATGCAGTTCCAGCTCTTTACCATGACAAATTACCGATAAGAGAAGGCAGCTCCTGGCTGCCCAGAAAGCACAATGTGCAAAACCACATCCAGCAACTACAATTTCCATTCCAGCACAGTACCTTGGTGAATCATCGATAGGAGAAGGCAGCTCCTGGCTAGTGTTCCCTGTAGATACATCCATCTGTTCTACTGTCTCCTGTAACGCTGCTGGTGGATCCCCAAGGACTTTTTCCTTCTTTTCCTCTGTCACTTCAAGGAAAGGTATAAACGAAAGAGCTGTTAAGATATAATGCTCACTATAACAAAACCAAAAGAGTAAACTTTACATTCGGGAGAGGATATACTGCAATATCTTGTAAATCCAAACTAAAGTAAGAGAAAGAATGAGACAACCAACCCACTATAAGAATCCTGTTCACTCATCTAGTTATATTCAAACTGTTATTTAAAAAATGAGGGAACCCCTAACAGGATTATATATCTCACATGGTAAATAACCTCAGCCCCATTCAAAGTTTACATTAGGTCAGTTTGGAAAAAGCCGGGCTGCGCATCTGATTAAACCTGTTGTGTATTGGTCTGATGATTGTCCTGGTTTTTTAGTACAAAACTTCTTGGATTGAAAAAAACAGGCTTCTTATTTCGGGGGTCTTCAATGTCATAAAATAAATCAGAACAAACGTTTAGGAAGGCAAAATCTCTTTCCACAGGCACAAAAAGTTTCTTTGCAGCATTGTTCAGCATGTGCACTGTGTCGCCACTGACGTCCAACAAAGATGTATTTTCTCTTCGCTGCTTTGTCTCCACCCCATTATTCTTTTCAGCCCACTCTTATTGATTTTAGACCACAAAGGGAACTTTAACGAGCGCAACTTGCATACGGGCCCTCCGAGATTTTTCGCCCATGTCCGAGAAGGCTAGGTGTCCATCGTTCCGACAAGAAGATCAGGGGTGTGGCTGAAAGACAGCAATAAGAAGAAGCCAGGGAGTAGCAGTAGAAAGGCTGCAGAAAGAGTCAGGAGCCTAGAGGAGGGGGCAAAGGAGGTGAAGGGGTGGGGGCAAAAAGAGGAGGCGAAAGCAGACGATAGAACATTGTTAGAGAGCAGGAAAGGAGGTGAAAGTAGACAACTTTAGAGAAAAAAATTTTTTGGCCACTACCTGGATTCGAATTTGAACCCAGGACCTTTGAATGAGAGGCCAACACCTTAACCTCTAGGCCACGAGAGCCCCCATAGCCCATCCTTGACACCTCGCATCACATTAGTTATTCATCATTACACTCACAACCAGTGACCACTTCAACTTCCTCTCTTCAAGTACTGAGCCTATGGCAGCAGCAATGTTGTGTGCAGTTGCAATGTTAACAACACGGGCTCCAAGTAGTTGAACAATACACTTGTCAAGGCTGTCGTCGTAGAAATGCACTAATACATTCAACACTTTATCACCAGCATTGTAGGTTGCCTCATTTACATTTCAGCTAAAAAGGCTGCCTTGAAGTTTTTCCTCTAAAGTTGTCTTGACTGAATAAGCAAACACCATAAGTTGTGAAGTTCATTGCAGCAGTTCTGTTCATTGAAACTGAATTGAAGCAGGGCAGGATCAGAACTAATTTTTCTAGCAAATGCAAGAAGCTCTGGGGCTAGCGAGTAAGAAACAAACTCACACGAGATTTTATTTTACTTGACTTGTCCATTACCAAGCATGTTACAGTCTTGGTGTCAGAGGTTGCAATAAACTTTGCACTGCTTGATTTGGCAGAGAAGGCGGACCTGTGATCAGGGTTGTTTGCATGAAGCCGTAGCGCTTTCTTTCCACTAGTGTCATAAATTAGAGGCTTGTCACATGAAGTACAGTAGCACTCTCCTAAAATGGAAACCTTCTTACACTATGCAGAGAATGGAACGCCTTTGTCACATTTTTCATCGAGCCAGTGCCAATGCCATGGATTTCTCAGACCAGCTTCACACTTTTGTAAAGCTTCTGAATCAGTTTTCTCAAGAAAATTATGCTCAATTGACTTCATTTTGTAGCGATTCGGTCAAGATCTAGGTCTGCTAGGCTGAAACCAACAGACGTCGTCTGTTCAGCCTGGTCGCTCTGGCCCACGAAGCGAAGACTCGCTATCTTCTCTCACCAACTTCACCGAAAATGTTGATCCTGTGCAAAAAATCCCAATAGTTTTAGTGATATATGGAAATAAATTAAAGAAATAAACTCGAGTTTTGTTTAAACCTGTGCTGTTTGTCACAGCAGAAAAGATCAAAATAGATTTCTAATGCTTCTCTTCAACGGTTAGATTCACATCAACACGACCACTTTTGTAAACAAAACCACCTGAAGCCAGGCCGGAAAGAGGAAGTGGGAGTTCAGCTTCTGGTCACGAGAGGCCAAAATAATAAAAAAAGAACGCCAAAAATTATTTTTGCAGCGCAAAAATCGCAATCAATTGATGCCGGCGAGATTCCAGCAAAGCTTGTTCAAACCATTTGAAATTCCGGTTTGTCTGCAAAATCCGGCGATCTGGCACCCAGCGCAAACTTCTTTCTTCTTCTTCCTCGTTCTCGATGACAGCAGCTAGACAGTCAGTCCGATGTCGCGTACAAACTGTGTAGTTCGCTTCAACTCTGAGAGACTGTCATAGAGCTTTCTCTCAAGGGGAGCCACATTCTGCCACGTCTGTGCGCGAAGGGTGGCGCAGCCCGGGCAGTGCTGAAGGATATGATTGGTATCCTCTTGGTCGTGTCCACATTCACAGATCACTGTCTCTCCCACTTTTAATTAGGTGTGCATATGGTGTTTGAGTCTGTTGTGGCCACAACGGAGTCTAAAGATTGTGACCTGGTCTGTTCTATTTAGTATGTAGTAGGGGTCATGTCTGTTGAGCTTAGGGTGGGACCTTTTCCATCTGTTTCTTAAAGCAGTTTTTATTAGTGTTTTTGACTCTGAGAGATCCATGCCATCTTCAATCTGGGTCATTTTGGCTCCTCCTTTGGGCGCAAACAAAAACACCCCGTCGTTACAAACGTTCATTGCCTTTGATACACGCTGAACAAAAACACCCAGTACAAATTGAACGTGAAGATGAATGGTTTCTTTTATCAACTCCATGAGGCCAAAAACAGTCCTGCCCCAGAAGACTCAATTGAATAACTGAAATAATTACTCTTAACTTTATGATTACTTTTAAAACTGTTATAATTTGCTTTTGTCAGTTACTCAAATACCCAAGCGACCATTGGCGCTTGTCAAGTGGCGTTGATTAGCGTGGTTCAAACGCCTAGATGCCCTCATACTGTCACTTAGCCGGCCGTTGAACCACACAAAATTTGGTAGGTCTAAAACCACCTATGTCCAGTAACTTGTGTAAACAAGCTTTTTTTAAAAAGTTTATTACAGACCAACATCTTACATCATATAATACATCTGAATTTCAGATTAATAAGTACAAGCATAAAGCATTTCTCCTGAAAAATTTGTCCCTTGGCACTTGGGTGGTTGAATCACGCGGCTAGCGATATAATACACACACACACACCAGCCTTATTAACCTTTTCAAAACCCAGTCGGGGATACCCAGCTTTATAAAAAATAAAACTATGTAACAAAAAACCAACAACATCAAGTGGGACGTTTTGCTGTAGTATAAGTGATAAGAGTCTCAAACTCCCAAGTTGCCAAATCCGAGACAACACCAGGAAGTTTGGGAAATTTCGCAAGCCTGATACACACTTTACCTGTAGTAACAGAGGTAGCGGTAGTGGTGGTAGAGGAAACTGTTTCCGGTGCAGTCTGGACGTCTGGTTCATCTTTCTGGGTTACAGAATGCAAGTTTGGTGGTGACTCAGCTTCTGCCGGGACCTCTGGCTCTTGTCTCTTGGAACTGGATTCTTCAGCCTGAAATTTGTTTTTGGTTGTCTTAGTAAGTTCTACAGTACTTGCAACGCAAAAAAGTCATGTAAGTGCCAAAGATTGAAGGTGTTACTTTCTTGAGAGTAACATACAAAGAAAAGAAAGAGGAGAGATGGGGACAACAGATTTTTTATAGGAAAGAAGGAGCAAACCACACAAGAGCACCTGCCAAGCACCCACAAAAAGTTTGTGTGAGTGAAAGTGAGTCACTTTGACACATACTAAAGTCACCTTGGCAGTCTGAGTGCTGTCGAAAAGCCGGCCTGACCAAGTTGTTTGTCTGGATAAAATTCTATATAAATCCGTACCCAAAGCTGAAGAAAGTAAGGCAAAAACATGTTCCCTAGAGTACTCCAAAAACTACATCCTGCCGTCTTTTCATCGGCCAGCATGTAGAGTACGACAATTTGAAACTACAGGCCATAACAACCTTCGAAGTAAAAGGTATGGAATAACAAAAATTAAATCTGACCATAAAAAAATCACTAGACAGGGTAAAATACCAATAGTGAAAATTACACCTTTTCGTAGGCAAGTGTAAAGTAAAGAGTAATAAAAAATCTAACGTCAACCTTTTACTGGACAGTGTGATTTATACAAAAATACAACTCACTGACCACAAAAGTTTGGTCACTAAATGTTATGGAGCAAAATATAATCAAAACCACTCACTAGATATAGAGCAAAAAAATAATGAAAAATATCAACCAGAACATTATCACTGACAGTTACGGAGAAAAAATAATTAAAACTATCAACTGTAACTACTAAACCGGCTTCTCAATTTTCAAGGAGGGCCAATCATTTTCCAGGGCCACATAACAATGATAGGGCAAGTGCTCCATACATCATATCTAGTCATCAACACATCAGTGTGACGCTGGGGTCTTGTGTGACTTAAGAGATAAGTAAGAACAGACTTAAATACTTAAGCCTATATGGTCGCTTTTAAGCACAAGGGGGCTATCCCGAAACCCGAAAAATGCTGTTTTGAGAAAATCGAAGTTTAACTTTTTGGACCTTTGTTCAGATTCTTTAACAGACAAGGAGAGTATTCTCTATGACCAAACAAATATACACACCAAAGAAACCAAACTTCTCCTACAGGTAGGGCAATGCCCACTTTTGGTGTAGATCAAGATTTCTGGAAAACCCCGGGATCAGGGTTAGCCTGCTTATCCTTAAAAGCGACCAAATATGAAGCCTGTGTGAAAGGGCCAGGAGCCAGAATATATCAACTGTGAAGAATGAGTCTCATTTAATTTATAAAAATGTGAAAGACAAAAACTATTGCTCAAAGTATAGTATTAACATATGGCTAAAGTACAGGGTGATCCAAAAAGAAATTTACAACATATTTTCTGAAAATCTCAGACAAAATTGTTCTACAGTGTTGTTTTGAAACAGACAATTCATTCAAAAGGAATTTGTTTGACATAAAATTCAAAAAGATAATACTTATTTCTTAAAACGAAAACGGCTTAACTCAGTTTTTCCCGAAATTGTACCCAGAAACCGGTCATTTTGGCACTTATGTAAGGTAAGGGCCCACAAGTAATCATAAATACAATCCAATTGCTTTGAAATTTGGCACAAAGTACAACATAAGAAGGATCTTTAGGCATACCAAATTTGAAGTATGTAGCTCTAGTAGTTTTGCTTTGGGGTGTTGTAAAAATTTGGCATTTTTGGGGGCTTATAATTTTTTTTCATGGCGGAATGAGCAAGACCAATCCTACATTGATATTCGAATATACTTGTGAGAGTCTAGATCTATATATTGTATGTCATGTATAATAAAGACTTGAATACTTTTATGAATTTAAAAAATGTAGGTATGAGAAATGCAGAGAGAATCATTTGCGAGACATGCTCAGCTGATCAGAGGGAACAAAAGTGCTGAAAGTGCTTTTACAAAAACCGCGCTTTCTCCGTGTGTAATGACAATAGAAACAAATTTCCAGCACCCCTCTAGGAAGAGTTGACGGGGAAATAATAAATTTGACCATATATAAAACTTGACGCCGTTTTCTGAAACGAAATAACTAGTATACAGAACAAAACTATAGAACCGCGTTATCTTGGTCGTGGGATTGAACACAGCCCGCGAGCTGACCAAGATACCTCAATCACAGGATTGAGTGAGCTTTAAAAAAACACCCATTAATGCAAAATGCATAAATTAAAAATCTTTACAGGCTTTCTTTTCTTCCTTTTATTTTCAACATTTAATTTTTCCATTCCTGTAACATTTAAACAATGTTTCATTTCTCTAACAGAATCTAAAACACTTGCACTGTTATTCTGGAATTCTTAGAGGCAGTGATCAACATGTCCTCCTTTCGATTCGAAACATATTGACGCGTGGTGGCCAACATAAAGACTCGCCAAACCATGAACGCTTAACCCATTAGTGCATGAGGTCTCAAATTTTGTTGTTACTTTCACATAAGTTTCCTTTCAGGTTGTAACGAAAGGTTCCACAGGTTTTTTATCTTCAAAATTTATACTTTGCTATTAGTGACCGATTTAATTTTTGGGCGCCACGCACGAATGGGTGCATGAAATTTTGACCACAGTAAAAAAAATCTAAACAGTGACAATATAGGAAATTCTAATGACTTTTACTATTTTCAAACATCAAATACAATTATGTGGTGTTTCAAAAAAATATATTAAAAAATCAGAATTTAGAACAGGGAAATTGAAAATTTCTGGTATTACTGGCGATGGCGCGCTTGAAAGTATTTGCAATGCAGAGGGCAGGAGGGGCATGTGCCGCAAGCTTTCTTCACACTTTCCTGGTATTGCCCTTGGACAATCTGCAACTTTTCTGGGGTTAGCAGAAACATCAAGAAATACATTCCTGCATCCTTTTTTAACTTAGACCCAATCGTTCTTTCCATTCTGCCCGGAATAGGTAGCATTCAGGCGGATTTTCTGTATCTGATTATTTAGCCTGCGCCAGGGACATACTTTGTTTATAAAATCCAAGACAGACCAGTGGGACAGTACAAAGATAAAGAAGGGAAAAAAAAGATGATCGTTGCCCCATAGAACTCGGTTGCTTTCCGTGATATTGGGTAATTATATTTTGAAAACTTGTTTGAGCATGCAAATGTGCGTGTGCATGTCTGTGTTTGCACGTGCGCATGCTCTCGAGTGTGTTTATATATGTGGCGAGGGGAAGAGGGTGTTTGGGAGTGCACAAGTTAAGATGAACAGTGTGTATGAAATGAGGCGAGGTTGTTATATTTTTTTTAAAGCATTTATGGACTATCGTTCAAGGCACCTATCATTCAGTATTGAATCTGGAGTTGAGTGCAGGGCGATTGCCAAACTGACTTCAAAACCCCTAGCCCATACCAATAAAAACTATATTAAAAACATATTTCCCAACACTAGCATGGGACACTGATAAGTCCTTCGTGACTTAGGTAGGACAGACAATTAATTTTAACCCTCGTCCTGCGGGGTCAGGTTTATGTCGCCCGATAAGCCTATTTCGGCACCTCGCCTACGTTCTGGTCCCGAGTCAGTGTAGCCCCTGGCTCAACGACGCGCACCTCAAATCATCTTTCGGGAAATTCGGGTCCCAAGTCGGATCCCCATTCACGCAGGTCAAGTGTGTGTGCGTCAGTCTGTTTGAGTTTGTGTGCGTTTGTGGCTTTCTTCTTGAACCGCCTGCGTTGGTTCGTAACCGAGGCATACGTCTCATTCAAAACATGCCAAGTTGGTAGATCTAGATGTTTGTCCAATGAAATTATAGAAGAAATTGACCCACTTAGACATGAGGAGCTCGAAAGGATAGTCAGGAAACAAGACTTCCATTTTTCTATACAAAATCTTTCAAATGAGCTTGATTTTGTATGAAATGATACTACCTGATAAAAAATAAGCTTGTTTGATAGTTTTGAATACCATTGTGCGGGTACAAAGAACAATTTGAGAGCAAAACATTCGGATATTGACCTATATTATCCCCTTTCGAACCTACAGGTCATTCATAACAACAAGAGCGTCTAGAAAGGTTATTCGAATGAGCGTAACTACTCGTAATGTCTTATCAGCTTGTGAAAGGGAGTTATTCATGTGTTTGTAACAGTTTATAAATAGAAAGCTATGAAAGGTAGAGCGTTATTTTCATCATCGATTAACACACTCCCACGGTATTCATGGCGAAAACACGCGTTTCCCGGCGCGTGCGCTGAACACCAACAGTACACTCTGAGTGACCCCGCCACGTCCGATGTAATCGGTTTCTGATAAGATTCGCATCTCAGCACAGACGCAGGAAAAGAGTTAAGTAGTTACACCCTAAAAATGCAAAATGAATCCTGATCTGGGCCTGAGCAGAGGCAAGAAGAACATCAACTGCCAAAACCATGTTTGGTTTCAGCAATCATGGATTTTAAAAAGCATGCAAGAAAAAATTATTTATAAAACCTTTATAATTGGGCTTATGGCAGAGCAAAAAGTGAAAATAAAAGAGAGCATGTACTGAGAGACGGAGCTGGAAGGACTGTGAGAGCGTGGGATGTAGTGATGCCGAAAACCTGGAAATCAGTGAATCACTGCATCATGGACTAAGTATTGATTTTTTCCAAAATGTTAAATCACAGCACCAGTTTTTAATCAGCAACAAACCATCATGATGCATAGGCATCCAACATAGAGCTTTCTGAGTGTTGAAAATGTCATTTCCTCATTGTCACTATTGAATTTGTCATCACTGACAAATCCGACAAAACCGGGAACACCAACCTTGACGGTAAAATCATCAAGCCTGTGCTCTAATGTTCCCTCATTTACGTACTCGATTGTCGAATGTCAAAACCACTTCCACTCATCGTTTTTATTTTCGCATCAGTTTCATGCACCACGGCCTTATCATGCTGCCGTAGACTTTATTGCGCCAAACGCCTCCCCTCAATTCCGAAGCCCTGCAACGCTCCACTTTGAATTAACTTTGGTTAGGCCTACCGGCCGGTCCTTTACTCATGCCGTACTCACACATGCGAACTCGCACAGGTTCACTGACCGGTCATGATGACGGGCCCGACAATTCAGAAATCGGAGGACGCTTGTTTTCTTTTTCTTCCTTTTTTTGTCATTATAGTGACATCAGTGAGAATATCGATTTAATTTGTATGGCAACACTGTGTTTTTTTATGCACAAACTGCATGTTACAAATTTTTATTAACTGTAAATCTAACGTTGACAAACTATCATCAGACAATTCTCAACGGTAATGAAAACGAAAGTAGATTTTGATTTTTCCGACAGGAGTCTCAGTACAGGGTTCCTGCCATGAACTTCCCACCAAATTCAAGGAGGTTTCAAGGAGAAATTTTAAACATTCAAGGAGATTTGGTCAAGTAATTCGTCCCGAAAGCCTATTTCTGATAGGCCTAAACTTGTCCGAAAGGAATCCTAGTTTCGATTTTCCTACAAAAACTCTGTCCCTATCCGATCTGACAAAATTCAAGGAGTTTCCTCAAATTCAAAGAGTTTTCAAGGAGATTTTTCATTGAAAGCAAATTCAAGGAGTTTTCAAAGACTCCTTGAATTCAAGGAGTCCGCAGGAACCCTGTCAGTATTACACCTACACTTCCGCCTGCTTCCATAGCCCCTTATTGGCGTGAAACGTACTCTCAGACTGGGGAAAGCCAAACGTAATATCACAAACACGACCAGTAAAATATGAACTCAGTAGCCTTTTCAGATTTGGTTTCGAGGACTGTGCATTTTCTCGGCTCTCGGCAATTTTTTTTTTAGATTCTCTGGTAATTCCCGCAGTCCCCCAGTGGAGAATCCTCATCTGGTACTGACCAATTCTCTAGACCAAGACAGATTTTAGAACGTTTTGCTTCGATACCGATTTTCTTTCTACATTCACAATTCTGTTTTCTAGATAAATGAATTAACCGTTTCGCACTTACGGCGTCCGTATGCGCCCGCGCCGGTGACCCCCGCTCATCCCTATAGCGCCCGCCACCGGGGTGTTTGTTTCGTTGCCGCGGGAGGCTTCTACTTTTACTATCATCAGAAGTTTCACTTAGCTATCTTTATAGAGGAAGAGTTCCCATTTACTATGGTGTTTTTCTTGTTTCGCTAGCACAAAGAGTCACTTTTTGAGCAGGAACAAAAGTCGGAGGAGATTTTAGTTGTAAACACGCCATCATGTCTCTAGGATGCATGGGCGCAAAGCTGCCCGATATGAGTACGGCAGAAACAAAATAAAAACACCCAAAGAAAAGTCTTTTAGGTGCTTTCAAGTTTCTACCAGAGGCTTCAATCTCTGTGAATGTGTTGTATTTCTTTTGTGTGGATTACCTCTTTGTCAGTGGCAGAAACTTCGTGAGTTGAAGAAATGTATACGAGATCTAGATCTAGATCGAGACTCGGAATCCAAGACACGCATCCCAGAAAGACCTCTCATATCATTTCATTCTCTTCTATTCCACTTATAATTTTGTACTAGTAATTTAGCTCATTCATTTTCATTTCAGAAAATACTATTTTCATCATTTTTGGTTGTGTTTGTGATTTTATACAATTTTTTTAGTAAGGTACCCCTTCAATTTTCGTGGAGTTATTGCCCTTGTCTTAAGGATGGGGGGCCACAGCTGGCCAAGCCTGCTAAGTGCGAAAGGGTTAAATGCATGGGTTTTCCAAACGCATAAAAAATCTGAAGTTAGAAAGAAAGAATGAATGAAAGGAAGGAAGAGGATTATCTATAGGGAGTAGACAGATTTTAGCCGATACGCAGGTGAAAAACTCTGGCCAGCACAGAAAGACAATGGTGGAGTGTGCGAAATGCGCAATATGGCAGTTTCTAATACAACTTATGGCCGAGACTTGCCGTAAATATCTGACAAGGTACGGAAGCAAGTCTCTCTCTCTCTCTCTCTCTCTCTCTCTCCCTCCCTCCCTCTCTCTCTCTCTCTCTCTCTCTCTCTCTCTCTCTCTCTCTCTCTCTCTCTCTCTCATGCACAGAGTTGATACGATGATGCGGCAAGTACGTAACCTTCGGAATGTACGGATTTCCGCAAAAACAAAGAATGGAAGCACTGAAGAATTTGTTTTTTCTCTTTTTCTCCTTTCGGCACCCATCACAAATCCGGTAGTTTTTACACCTTATCGGTATGGCGGTAGAACAGGCCCAAAATCAGTATCTACCAGAAAAATCGGTGGATTTAGGCAGCCCTGCAGAGATGAAGGCAAAGTAAGTTTTGGGGAAAATCCGGCGTAACAGACAGAACAAAAAAATTGGGATACACACGAACGAAAATGGGATGTTTGAGATTTTGGAGAGGGGGTCCGTGCGTGTGTGTCGGGATGAGAGGCAGGTCTGGTTATCACCAGATGTTAAGGAGAAAAATAATGAAAATTACTCACCATAACAACTTTATCACTAGGTGGAGTCAGTAGCTCTTCCCTTGAAGGAGAAGGTGTTAGTGTTGGAGACAGGCCCACAAAACGGAGATGCTTCGGTTTGGCAGACGACCCAAACGTGTGCATCGGTGTGGCCCCCGGCTGAGGTTTAGGCGTGCTCAGTTGAGTCGGACTGTTGAGAGAGCTGTCCGACTTGGAGGCTTGGCGTTTTCTAGAAGAGCTGCCGGTGCTTGTCCTTCTACCCCCACTCATTTCTGGGGAGTCGTGGAATGAGGACAATGATCAAAGCAAAAATTGTATCACGGTGTGATAAACTTTATAATTCGAACTAGACATTGCAATTCTAAAGTAAGCTTTTTTAAATATTGGGCAGCGGCAGGGGGCTTGAGTTTGAGTCCAAAACCAAACCCAAGAAAGACTGCTAAAGGGGGGTTCTCTGGTTTTTACTATTTGGACGAGTGCCTAATTTCCTAATTTCACCACAATGCAACACATATATGTTGTCAATATAATAAATCGAAGAAACCAGTTTTCAGTCCATTGGGGCAATTTTTATCAAATTTATGTCAGGGGGTACACCTTTATGTCTATAAGAACATATCCTGTATGGACTTAACTACACAATGTTGATCAAAGGCACAGAAAATGTAAATTTCCGGTTCCTAAGGACACAACAGCATAGAAAGTCACCAAACTTTGTCAGCCATTTTCTCAATAATTTCACCTCCGCCACAGAGCCACCTCCACCTCGTTTGTTTTGGTTAAAGTTTTACGGTACTCGCAATTGCATAAGGTCATATGAGCATGCAGGACACATTAAATATTTTCAGTTTGGTTGGAATTAATTTTGATTTTTGCCCAGGTGGTGGCTGAAGCCTGCTCTTATTGAAATTTGGACCACCAATTTTCACAAGGGATCTTCCAAGATTTTTCACCTTTATCCAAGGAGGCCAGGTGTTCAATCTTACCTACCCTAAGATCAAGTGTGTGGCTGAAAGACAACAGTAAGGAGCTAAGGAGTAACAATAGAAAGGCTGCAGAAAGAGTCAGGAACCTAGAGGAGGGGTGGGGGTGGGGTCAGAAAGTGGAGATGAAAGCAGACGACAGAACATGGTTAGACAGCAGGAAAGAAAGTGAAAGGAAAAAATCAGAGGGAAGAAAATTTTCCCTTGCTGTCAGGTTTCCAACCCAAGACCTATTGAATGAGAATTTAACACCTTAGACTTCTATTCAAGATAGATGAATAATTTTTTTCATCAAAAGCAAGGCAAACAAACAGGCTTTAAGTAAGACGATACCAATTACTCCATACGCCTAAAAATTGACGAGCGCCCGATTCCACCATGTTGTGTCACATATGTGAGGTAGTGTAGTGAAATCAAGCGCTCGTCAAAATAATGAAAGTCAAGAAACTGGTATTTTTCTGGTTTGGGAATTTCTATAGAATTTTTGTGTTGTTGTTTTTTTGGCTCAACACATTTCATGCCTATTAAAGAACACGTTTCAGTGTGGATTTTACTGAAAAACGTTCATTAAAAGCATAAAAGATATAAATTTTCAGTTTCCACGGACTCTCAAGCTAAGGAAATAACTCAACTTTGGCTGCCATTTTCTCGCTAGCTTTACCTCTGAAACTAGGTGACCCCCACCTTCTTCAATAGCCAATATCTTGACTTGTATCCAAAATAGATTTTTTTTTCCCTTACAAGCAAGGCAATGAACAGGCTTGAAGATGATACCAGTAACTCCACACGCCCAAAAATTGACGAGCGCTTGATTCCACCTCGTTGTGACACATATTGTTTTGGTGCAATAAGCAAAATTTTTACTTCTAGTTTCATTATGTGATTCTCCCTTCACTCAAATGTTTGCAGACCCCTTCCCCCATAAGAAAACCCAGTCAAGGAGTGCAACCTGTAAAAAGTAGTACCAACCATTAGAGCCAGGCAGGAGGACCTTGCTCAGACGTCTGATTTTCAGAATGGACTGTGGGGTTTTGGTACTGGTGACAGCACTGACTCCCGGGCTCCTCTCTCTCTTCTTCTTCTGCTCTCTTTTGGGGGTCTGCAGGACTTTCACACACTCCATTGTTAACTGATGAAGGCTCCTGTGAACACAAAAAATACTCTTTAACAATTCCTCTCTCCCTCCCTTTCTCTGTAAGAGCCAGTCTTAAACATACGGTTAAAATGTTGTAATAACCCAAATTTTTTAAAGGTTTATAATCTTCATACTTCACTACTGGAGGGGACTGGTCCATCATGTTATGGCACAGAACTATCATAATGTGTTCACCTGATACCTTTCCTCAATAAAAATGCAGCACAAGCTTGCATCATTCATATTTTTACGGAGATGCATGCCGTATATGGAACTGATTGCCTATCCTATGCTGTGATACAATTTTGGTGTAAAAAAAGCGATGATGGGGTCAAAGAAGCGGTAGAGGGCTGGTTTTCTGACATAGACAGGTCCTCTATTCTCAAGGTCTTTTCAAGGTCATACACAGATGGCAAACATGTAATGAAAAACCTTTTTTTGACAGAAAGTGTTTGCAAATAGGTGCATTTTGTAGCTCTATCTCCACAGAGCATGGAACTTTTTGAATTTTTTAAATCCATCAATAAACAAAAAAGTTACGAATTTTTTAATCAATTAATTTTTGGTACACTTTTATATAATGAAAAAAAACCCCAAAATATGGGACGTTCTTTGGTGAGTTTTAAGACAATATTCTTCATAACTCGCTCATTTCTGGGAGTATTTAAATGAAATTTGGCTGGCAACATAGTACATTTTCTAGTGCAGAATCTAGTCCTGCTTTCAGATTTGTCATAGCTATCCTACTTTTTGAGTTATGAAGACGTTTATAGGTAAAAATGTGGCAGTTTTCTGTGCGTTTTGAGACAACATTTGTCATAGCTCGCCTATTTCTTGGAATATGTAAATGAAACTTGGCAGTCTAGTACAGTTTTTAATGCAGAATCTAGTCATGCTGTCAGATTTTTAATATCTATCATACTTTTTGAGTTGTAAAGACATCAACAGGTAAAAAAGTGGCGTTCTTTACAGATTTACAAAGATTATCAGTCATTATCTTCTCCCAAAGTCATGATATTTGAATGAAACTTGGCAACATAAAAGGTTCCTCCTTGCCAAGCAATGCTCTGGATCAATCTGTCACAAAAATGTAAGTAGACAGCTGGATTTATTAGTCTAATAAATCCAGTTCTCTACTAGTAAAAGCATGCACACTTTGTAATAGAAAATAAGAACGTCTCTGTGTATATCCAGTGTTGGACAGTGTCCTATTGTGTGGTAGATTAAGATGCGTTCAGATAGTATAGTTTATAAGTCACGGGAATATTTCGCATGTGTAGTCTACAACTCATACTATAAATATGTAACATATTTACACCCCCCCCCCCCCCCTCTTCTCTCTCTCTCAGGCACACACTCACACATGCATGCGCGCACACTCACGCGTGAACGATAACAATGAATAAACGAGACTATCTTCCCAGACTGGACTAAATAAGTACCATACTCTTTAATAACAATCTTAATGCCTCACTTTTCCAAACAGAGCACACAGGACGAGTCCAAGTGTGTGCTTTCCCAAGAGGGGGGAATAGGCTTTCATAACGCAAACACGATGCCATACCACATCTCAAGATGTTTGCTTTTCCGTTTCTATTCTTCTTTCATGCAATCAAGCAAATAAAAATGACTACATCAATTGTATTGTGACTAAAATGTAACACAAATGCAAGTTATCAAGGCCCCCGTTTAGTTTTCAAGTATCCTTCCCCCCCTTTCCGGTTCACATAAGCGGGGCCTCGTTTGTAGCGCCCGAGGCGACCGATGGCTGATGACGTCACTCAGTGGAAATTTCCCAGCCGCCGGTCGTTCACCCAGCATGTGCAAATGGCAATGTCGCTTTTTCCCTTAGTCACTCCCACATTTTTAAAGATTACGCAAAAACCGCTGAACACAGAGGCATGAAATTTTAAGGGAATAAAGAAGAATGGTGTACAACGTATCAATCAGTTTGACAAATCACAGTTCCGAAAAATCTGCAAAGCGCACCACATCAACCACTTTCGCAAACGTTTTCGACTGCTTCTTGGATGGGTACAATGTTGTCAAACTGCATACTACGAGATTGACCTCTTTTCTGATTGGCTGCCAAGTTTCATTCATATCCATTCACAAGAAGCGGCGTGAGAGTGAGTTGAAGACAACAACCTTTGCGCTAGTGCGTCCCACGAAACACCCCCGTGGCGGGGTCCAAAAATCGGCAGAACAAAATGTGCTCGGTGGGCATTGCTAAAACATGTATAACTCTGGGAGGCAACTACATAAAGAAGGACTAAGCTTAGTACTAAATTTCAGCTTTCTACCTTTATTCCTTCATGTTCAGGTAAAAAACTTTTGGTTTGCCCCTCGTACATGTATGTTGTGGACTCATCATCCTGTGTAGTCCTCTTCACGCACACAGAGGGCTGTGCACTGAAGGGCAGCCTTCTTGCATTTGCAGCACCTCACACACTTGAAAGAAACCTATTCAATGCTCAGGTAGCCTGGTCCAGTATGGTGTGTACTGTCCTCCAGTCATTGACCAACCCCAATTGGTTGCTGGAGGGAGCTCTGATGCTGGCAAAAGTATCTGACCCCACATATGTCCACCTTGATACACTCCCCTCTTGACATGTTCCTCTAAAGCTGCCTTCGTTGGAGGGATCAGCTGCACATCGTTCTTCCTTGCGAAGAGTTTCCTCCAGGCCATGTCAATGTCTGTGCATTTGCTGGTTCGATCATACAACAGGATCATGAACCTCTCGATGATAGACATTGCATTGTTTGGTATGTCACGTGGTGCGGAGAACACCAGCAGCAGCGCCTCAGTGAGTTCTGGCAGTACCGTCCAAACTGCCCACCCAGTCTTTTTGCCATATGGGATGAAGATCTGATGAGTATACTCTTCAAAGGTCAGTAATGAAGCCAGCTTCAGCATCTGGACGATGGCTGCTCCATCAAAGTAGTGACAGGAGTCTGTCTTGGCGTCTGAGACTTCTTCCAGGCATGTGATGAGATCATTCTTGGTACAAGTGAAGAGGTTTCCACCAGCAGACAGAGAGGGAGGACATGCCTGGTTCCCGTGACGAAAGAACTCCTAAAGGTTTCCATCCCTCATCTGGCAGCCAGTGTACAGGCGTGCGACGAGTTCACGGTCATTCTTGACAGAGGCGAGCGGTCACTAACCTTTGCTCTTGTTTCTTGGAGTGGAAGTGCTAAAAATCTTCAGCTTGTTATGAGGAATGGGGTCATCCACTGCCTTTGTTCTATCCAACAGACATTCTCTGGTGAAAGCCTCAAACTGCTCTTGGCCAATCCTCTTGGCATTCATCACGGTCTCCATGGCAGCAGAACCTGCGATGTCCTTTGTGTCCCGTATGACTAAACCCTGACTCTCCTCCTCGAACGGATAGCCCATCTCCTCTATGACACCGACGAGAGAGCGAACATCTTTTCACAAAAGAGGCCCGTACACTTGGCGTCTGATCATGATGATGTGTGTCTGCTGTTAGCCGTCTCCAGAATTGGTTCCCATCCTGGTATTCTTCGATCACCCTAGCAATTTCTGGTCTCGCAACCACTCAGCAACGAAGGGCACTAGGGTTGTCAGTGAGCCCAGCTGCGCCACTGTCTCCTTTGATGAAGGCATTACTCTGCTTATGTGCCTGGTCAATCGAGATTGAAGAGAACACCCTCTGTGTTTTCTCAACTATGAAATGGCCTTCACTGAATTTCCTTGCTACGTCTGGGTGTTTGGTAGTGAGTTCAGCCATGTCCTTCAGGTGCACTGGCATCCACCTAGCATAGTAAGTATGATCTAGTGTGTGGAACCAGGTGACCAGCTCTATCAGAGCATCGAGGTACATCATCAATGACCCCTGCCTGAGAGAACACATATACACCAGTTCAAGAACAGTTGCCCATTAGCGAAAGAGGGAGATGTCTCATCTCTGGGGTCACCAGTCTTCAAACGTGGGAAGGTCCTCTGCATCCCTGGTTTCTCCCAGACAGTAGTGGTTGTAGGCATGGTGTTGCAGGATGTACAGTGCTGCTGCAGTCATTTGATGTGCTCTTCTTGTGCGCAAGGCATGAGATGCTTGCAGGAATGAGTCTGTTTGTTTTTGTAAAGTGTTTTACAGCGCTCGCAACTGCATAGGTCGTATGAGCGCGCGGGACACACATAATATTTTCAGTTGGTAGGAAATTTTGAATTTTGCCCGGGTGGCGGCCGAAGCCTACTCTTATCGATTTTAGACCACCAAGGGATCTTTAACGTGCGCAACTTGCACACGGGCCCTCCGAGTTTTTTCGCCCTTGTCCGAGAAGGCTAGGTGTAGATCTTTCCCACCAGAAGATCAGGGGTGTGGCAGAAAGACAGCAGTAAGGAGGAGCCAAGGAGTAGCAGTAGAAAGGCTGCAGAAAGAGTCAGGAGCCCAGAGGAGGGGGTAAAGGAGGTGCGGGGGTGGGGGCAGAAAGTGGAATTGAAAGCAGACGACAGAACATTGCTAGAGAGCAGGAAAGGAGGTGAAAGGAGACAATTTTAGAGAAGAAAATTTTTCGGTCGCTACCCGGATTCGAACCCGGGACCTTTGAATGAGAGGCCAACACCTTAACCTCTAGGCCATGAGAGCCCCCGGAATGAGTCTGCTGTCCTTGCTGTCGCAATCTCGGCTTGCACAAGTGCTTGTCACCCAACCACTCCCTTGCAGCCAGTCCCCCAGTGTTTTCAGTGCTGCCATCTCTATGTGAAGACCACCAAACGTCACCACGATATGATCTTCACCATAACTCTCTGGCCACTTCCACTGTATCTGCTTGGCCAAAGCAAACAGTGGCTGATCCAAGGTGACAACTGGTGTCTGTCCATGATTCAGGTGTTCTATGGCTTTCTTCACAACATCCATTGAATGCCTGATCATTGCCAGTGTGGGCACTTTCCATGAAGAGTGGAAGCAGCGACGTGGGGCAGATTCCTCTAGCGTCTGGTGGCTGTCGGCTGGCATGAAAAGCTGCCCAAGATGTGTTTTCATTCTCCACTGTACCAGTGTTGTCTCCCAGGATGTGTTTTTCATTGCCTAACCAATGCCGAATGGTACTCTTCATCAGTCTGCTGTTTGAAGTCTCCTCTGGTCAATGATGCAATTTCAGCAGCTGGGACAGGCGACGTCTTGATGCTGCTAGTGACTGGGGGTACATCAGTATAATAGGGCAGCAAAGGGGAGACAGTCTTGGACTGTGCATCCCAAGATTCTCCAGCAACGACGATGCTCTGATTTACTCCTTCACCAATATATGAAAGATGTATGAGGGTGGGAGATAGCGACACTATTGAAGAAGTCTTTTGATGTTGTTGCACTATTGTTGTGATCTATGTTGTCTACAGTGCCAATTGTGAACACTTTGCCACGCATTTTTGGAGGTCAGACCACATGTTCTCTGTGAATTGATTGGCAGACATTGTTGCCCATATGTGCTGAGAGCTGGAGCACTCCACCATAAAAGATGCTCAGGCTAAGGTGCGACCTTGTGTGTACGAACACGCAACATCATCCCGATTTATGCTGGAAGTGGGGACTCCTATGCAACACTGTGCCTGGCACAAGTGGATGATGTGGTGCCACGTGTTCGCAGTGACACTTGTTAGGGACGTGAAGTTTGAAGAGAAATTTTCATCCGTTTTCATGACGATTTTCATTTGCTTGTGAAATGAAGTTTTGCCGCTATACAGTTGAAATTTGACCTGGACCTTCCTAAATGGATAAACTTTGATTGGATTTAAAATTGAAATTTAGTGCTTTTAAAGGGCTGAAAATGGCATTAGGGAGTCTGTTCGAAGAGATTGCCTACAACCCATAACATTTATTTTTTAACCAACATTTTGTCTAGTTTGATTTCTTCACCTACATATCTTTCCATTGCTGGCTATGTTTAAACCAGGTCCCCCTTCCACTGCTATTATAATTCAATTAATTTGTCATCGCACCATTGATAGAAGGCACACCAGGGTATAATGAATAGATATGTACTTTCACAATACAGTTACCCAGCGTATACCCCAATTTTCCTCAATTTTCACGTCTGAATGTCGCATGTAACAACCTCGGAACACCACTTCGAATTATTCTTGTCTTTAGTAGTTTTAGCATAAATTTCTATCATCCCGGCCCTTCCCGCGTTCTCGTGCCATAGAACCTTCGCAGTGATAATTTCTCTAGATCTAGACAAATTTGCACCAAAAAAGTTTTTTCGGACAGTAATTATCTGTCTAAGCTCACAAGTCAATTTACTTGATCAACGCGCAGATTTTCAGCCGCGGCAACAATCCAAAGATAAACAGAAGGAATGAGAGAATGATAGAAAGGAGGAAATAGGCACAAAAAGTATGCCAGATTATGATCAATCTGCAGGTAAAAATGTACTGTCGACCAACCCGCAATGAACGCACGGGCATAGCAGAATAATGGCCGATTACACAAAATGCACAATCCAGCAGGTTTCCATAACATTAACTTATTGCCAAGAGAATTACTGTAAATATCCGTTACTTATACAAGACGATACCAAGGCGAGTGCGGATCTTTTGCTACGGAATTTCGGCAGTCCAACGTTGTCTCAGTTTTTTAACGGAGGGAGTTGATAATGATGGAGGAACAGGTGCGGAACTGGCAAAAAGTATGAATTTCTGTAAAAATACGGAAGAGGGTAAGCACTGTATTTTTTTCACTTTTAACTATTGTTTACCTCTATTGCCTACTCTGTGCTAAATCTACTAACCACTCATATTGTGATTCTATGTCCAATAACAAATAGTTTGAGTGCTAACACAAACAAATCCATTAATATTGACCGGATTAGAGCAGTTTTAAGATAACACCCCTTTGCCGCCTCAAATCGGGTGCATAAAATTGTGGAATCCCACTCGTACAGAAAGAGTTAAGGGTTAATTGATAATGTAAAAAATAATTAATTAAAATACAAAATGATTTTTTAAAAATAGTTTTTAATGGTTTTTCAGCTTTTGCTCGATTCGCCGATCAGCGATATCCACCTGATTTTCACAGGCACACACACACACAAATGGTCCATTTCAGCGTGTGCAGTTAGTTTGAAATAGGGAAAAAATACAAGTAGAGTAGAAAGACATAGTTTGGAACATGTCATAGAAATACATACTTTAGTTTGGTTTTAGTACAAGTTTTAAGGCACTTGCAACACAATTAGGTCACATAAGTGCCAAAGACTAGAAGGCTTACTGCAGAGTAGCATATGAAAAATTGTGTTTGCACTTGTATTGGAGAGCATTAACAAAGGTGGAATGAACATGTACTGCATATATGTTAATGCACTCCAATACAACCGCAAACACACTATCTTTGATTTAGCAAATTTTGCCGAGCTAAGTTTTTTGGGATTAATTTTGAGTGACCATATTCCAGGCGACTCTTACAGTAGATGAAAAATCAATGTCTGATGATGCAGAATTTATTTAGCTTTAAACATGCGTGAGAGGACAGTGCAAGGCTTCAACACAACTATTGCATGAATACATTTTCAAGTTTCTTTTGGACGCCACTGTATAATCAGCCCCTGATGCTGTGGACATGCTGTCATAATCCATTCACCTGTTGATATTGTTGGCCTGAACGAAATGCTGACCAGGACGTCATGAAGGCGAGTTTCTGGTACCTCCCATTTGTTAATCGAAGTTTACCAGTCTAATATTTTAAAGGGCTCTACGACGGTCCCAGGCTTGCAACCACCTCTAGTTGGGACATAAAATGGGAATGGTCTAATTTCTTCATTTTGATCAGTGGTGTGCGAGGCTGTCACTGTTCTCCACAATGTGTTGCTATCTTAGACAAATTCGACAGAAGTTTGGAACCGGGAACTAAGACAAGCGATCTGGGATTCTTTTTACTCTTGTAAAACCACACTTACTTGCTTCTAATACTACACTTACTTGGTCTCTGTGTGTTCTGTGAAGTCGGCTGTGAAGGACTTGGACAGAATCTTCCTCCTGGCAGCAGACAGAGGGTCATTGGCCATAAGGGAATTCTTCAGTTCTGGGTACACAACTTTCTCCGCAAACCTGACAGGCAGAGACAAAAACATTTATCCTCAGCAAATACAATAACATGAAGTTACTCTACGCATACTGCTTTTAAAAGAACATACAGCCGAGATCAGACAGACAAGTTTAAAAGTGATTGCAACAACTTACTGCTCTTCTCCTCCAGGTCTCAGTGTCTTTGGGGTTTTCAGGAATGGAACTTCAGGACTCATAGACAGCTCCCCTCTGGCAAAAGAAAATGAAGTCAAAAATGTTATTAAAGTTACTTTCACATTAATATCAATATTAAGTTTTGTAAGAGAGGAAAATGAAGATTTCTGTTGTATTTTAATTATTTTTCCCCAAAGACGATATTATTTTAGAACAAAATACATACAACCATAGTTCTCTAATATTGAAAATCAATCTCAGTAAATTTTCTGTAACAAGGCAATGAGATGTGTTATGAGAATGGCCGTGGCAAAATATGTGACCTATTTACCAAATACACGTTGGTTGTCAACACAAATGAAATGAACATATTCAAGTCATTTTGTCCCCCAAATCACCCCCCCCCCCCCCAAAAAAAAACAAAAAACAACTGGGGTTCTTCAACTGATATCCCATTTGTTTGTTGTTGTTTTTTACCTAGCTGCCCACCCACCAGCATATGTTTTTGTAATCAGCAAATTTAAAAAATTAGAACTATAGCTTAAAAATTCGCAATATGGTCATGAATCGTCTTCTTCTCCGAGTTGTCAAGGACAGGGGCTGTAGTCAAGCAAGTATAAAAGTAATGCAAACACAGGCATGATGAAAAACACGGCCCCGACAGGCACATCACAGGTCGAATTCTAAAATAGGGGGCAGAAAAGGGGGCTGTTGTATTACGTTTCAAACAATACTTTTTTATTTTCAAACATCTCACCGACCTTGGCTATCATACACAGCACAAAAAGACAGGAATTTGCTAACACCATGTCAACCAAATGTTTAACTTACTCCTGGATTCCGTACTTCTAAAGTCTATTGTTTTTCTAAGGGCAAAGTGGCACATAGCAACTACAAGGGCTCACGGCAAAGAGAATGCTAAAGTTAGACACCTCCACGTGACATAGTGATGTAGACTGTCTAGGTCTGGTAGTTTTTCTCCACTTTAACACAAGGAAGGTTGGCAGTGAGTTGGGATAGCCTAAATTTTCAAAATTAGAGTCAGGGGTATTATGATCGCATTTTCATAAAATTGAATAGAAATCGGGACGATTCCGCCAAAGTCATAATGATGGGTGGCCCATTTTAATAATGAATATTTTAGTGTCAAACTATTTGACTGACAAATGGAGCCTCAGGCTTGCTTTGCTCTCCTAATTCACTTATCATTTAGAACTTTAACTCTTGTCCTGCGTCTGTGCCGAGATGCGAATCTTATCAGCAACCGATTACGTCGGACGTGCCACGCAGGCCACCTGGGTCACTCATTGTGTACTGTTGGAAACGTGTGTTTTCGCCATGAATACCGCGGGAGTGTGTTAACCTATGATGCCTTTCATAACTTTCTATTTATAAAGTGTTACAAACACATTGAATAACCCCCTCTCAGTAGCTGATAAGACATTACGGGTAGTTATGCCCATTCGAATAACCATTCTAGACGCTCTTGTTGTTATGAATGAACTGAGGTTCGAAAGGGGATAATTTTGGTCAATTTCCGAAAGTTTTGCTCTCAAATTGTTCTTTGTACCTGCACAACGATATTCAAAACTATTAAACAAGTTTATTTTTTATCAGGTAGTATCATATCATACAAAATCAAGCTCATTTGAAAGATTTTGTATAGAAAAATGGAAGTCTTGTTTCCTGACTATCCTTTCGAGCTCCTCATGTCTAAGTGGGTCAATTTCTTCTATAATTTCATTGGACGAACATCTAGAGCTACCAACTTGGCATGTTTTGAATGAGACGTATGCCTCGATTACGAACCAACTCAGGCGGTTCTAGAAGAAGGCCACAAACGCACACAAACTCAAGCAGACTGACGCACACACACTTGACCTGCGTGAATGGGGATTCGACTCGGGACCCGAAAGACATGTAAGATGATGCGCGCTGCGCATGCACTGAGCCAGGGGCTACACTGATTCGGGACCAGAACGTAGGCGAAGTGCCGAAATAGGCATATCGAGCGACATAAACCCGGCTCCCGCAGGATGAGGGTTAACAGGTCCAACAAAAAAGAAGTTTCAATATCCTATCTGCTATCATTCCCTATTTGTATATATATATCTCCTATGCAACATCACAACAGACTTTGGATCATCACATCGGATTTCAATATTAAAATATAACAATTCTCTAGACAGTCGCCATCTGCTGTCTCACTCAAACGTCAGCTGACACATACATACCTGAGGTCCTTCCTCGTTATCTCACCCTCCTCTCCATCAAGCTCTGCAGCAAAGCTCTGTTCCACTTCCCTTACTCTCTCCATCACTGCTAAGACAAAATTGGACCTGGCCATAGCGTTGCGATCAGCATTACGTACCACGGTGGACAGTGGCTTGGGCTTAGAAACTGAAGAAAAAAACATTTCAAACATCTTATGAAAAGACAAACTTACGACAGGTCAGCATTCTAGGTGTTTCATAATTAAATTAATATGGCAATGAACGTGGTGTAAATAGGTTGTATCAAACTCTCACATCACATTTTATTCAAAGCGTAAACAGTACACCTTAAGAAGTGGTATCCAAGGCAACATGTACCTATGGACCAAATCCTATCTACACAACAGAAGAGCACGTGTGCTGGTGGATGGATATCAAGGACGGAAAATGCTGCTGCGACAAGGAGTACCCCAAGGTGGAGTCATGTCACCTTTGCTCTTTATCCTCTTCATCAATGACCTGATGAATGAACTGCCCAAAGGAATGCATGCCGCATTGTATGCAGACGACCTGGTTCTTTGGTGCTCTGAGGAATTCGTCACTACAGCCACATATCGCATGCAACTAGCATTAGACAAACTCACTACATGGACAAAAACCTGGTGTGTAACCGTAAACAAAGAAAAGTCTTCTGCTACACTCTTCACTCTCAGCCAGGCTGAGCCAAAACACCTCACATTAGATAAAACCCCCCTAAAGTTTGAGAATCAACAGAAGTATCTTGGAATAATCTTTGACAAGCGTCTCACATGGAAACAACACATTCAGAATGCAGAAAATAAAGCCAGGAAGAAACTTAACATCATGAGAAAACTAGCAGGGACTCAGTGGGGAGCAAATGAGAAAACACTTAGACAGGTCTATCTGGGCGCAATCAGGCCCCATCTCGAGTACGGATCCAGTGCATGGATGACTGCAGCACAGACTCACAAATACACTCTGGAAAAAGTGCAAAACCAGGCTCTCCGAATAATCACTGGAGCAATGAGGTCAACGCCTATAGAAAAGATGGAACAAACAACATCTATAGTGGCCCTGCAGAGGAGATGGGAATGCAAAGCCCTCATACAGTACACCAAGGCCACAGCTATGGAGGATCATATACTGCACACGAGAACAGCGAGATCAAACACCGCAAGACTCAAAAGATCCAACTTCATCAAAGAAAGCAGAAAAATCCAAAGATCCCTACAGGACCATCTACCAGCCACAGTGAACATGCTGAACCATACCCCAGAGGCACCATCATGGGAAAAGAAAAACACAAACATATCTATACATACGTCCATTCCTATGTTCACCACAAAAGATGACCACAGTGACTTGAGCAAGAAGTCCCTCACCCTGTCAATGCTTGAAAAAAAATACCCACGAGAAGCATGGATAAGGATTTATACAGACGGATTTGCCACTGATGCTGTGAAAAGAGGAGGAGCCGGAGTGTACGTACAGTTCCCAAATGGACGACGACAAGCAGAGGCAGTCCCAACAGGGCGACATTGTACAAACTACAGGGCAGAGACGGAGGCTCTAGTACATGCAGCAAACATCATCAAGAATGTGGTAGACCCCCAAAGCCAAGTAGTATTCCTAACAGATGCCATGTCAGTACTGCAGGCAATCACTTCCGGCAAACTACCAAGGCTACGAAAAGAAATTGAGGACATCCCATGTCTGAGGATCACACTGTGGTGTCTTGGGAAATGAGCAGGCAGGCAGACAGGATGGCCAAACTAGGAGCACAAAAAGAGCAACCAGACAACAGCGTTAACTACACAGAAATAAAAACTATTATAAATACACTATTTAAAGCACCTCAGACACCAGCTAACTACCATGAGCTGTCCCGCCAAGAACAAGTGATTATCTTCAGACTAAGGACACAACACACAAGACTGAGACAACATATGTACAAATGTTTTAAACTAGTACAATCACCAAAATGCCAGTGTGGAGAGGCGGACCAAACTGTTGAACACATCCTTCAGCACTGCAAGACACACAGGGCCCTGAGACAGGAAACGTGGCCAACCCCACTGACACTACAAGAGAAGCTATACGGGCCGCCAGATGAACTGAGCAGGACGGCCCAATTTATGACAGATACCGGACTTCAAGTGTGATGCAATCGAGAAGAAGAAGAAGAGTACACCTTAAAAAAGAAAGCTTTTGTGAAACTGACAATATCTAAAAAGTCAAAATTGTCCAAGACGGCAGCCACCCATCGTTGAGGAGAAAAGTGGTTGTCCTAAACAGGTGGATGTCTTGGTCAATGTCATTGTAATATTTTTTTTTAAGTGCATGGTGGGAAGTGGGAAGTGGGAAGTGGTTGTTTGCACAGTTTAGTGTCTAGGTAAGGTGGCGGTTGGAACGTGTTCAATTGTATTTCATTTTGTCTGTAAAAGTAGAACCAGAACAGACATTTTTTTAAAGCATGGATGGTGGTTTTGTTTCTTCAATTTGTTCATTAATTCTACGGTTTTGGCAGCACAAGGAAGTCAGCGTCAACCTGTCAAAGAGAGACAAAGGAGGGAGGAAGGGAGGTAAAGAAAGACAAGACAAAAAGAAAGATGATATATATACATGCATACTTTGTGTAGCAAATGCTCATAACAGCACACTGATAATTTCTGGAGTCTTAAACAACATATGTGAGACATCGTGGTGAAATCAGGCGCTCGTCAAAATAATGAAATAAAAGAAAACTGCATTTTTCTGGCCGTTTGACAATTTTTTTCCAATTTTCTTTCTTTGGCTGAACACCTTTCATATCCATTTAAAACCACATTTCTCTGTTGATTTTTCTGAAAACCGTTGATTAAAGGCATTTTCTCGCTAATTTTACCTCTGAAACCAGGCGACCCCCACCTCCTTCAAACATAAATATCTCGACTTCTATTCAAGATAGGCGGGTAATTTTTTTCATCCCAAGTCACAAATATGAACAAGCTTTAAGATGATATCAAGAACTCCACATGCCCAAAAATTGACGAGCAACTGATTCCACCTCGTCGAAACACATATACTTATCTTCATCTTAATTCATAAAGAAAAAAGGCTACCTTCAAGTCGTCTCGGAGCCTTGGCTGCTGAAGAAATGTGCTTCTCCATTAAGAGTTTTCTGGTGATATCCGGTAGTGCGTAAAGGTAGGCTTGCATCAGTCGATTCCTGCTGGCTGCCTGCTCTTGTGCCACAACACTTGTCTCCAACTAGAACATAGTTTCATCGGGCATTTTTGAGTAAAGAGAAACACACAGACAAAATAATGGTTGGCTGTTTGCTCTATAGCCCACTGAAAGGGTCAAACAGACAGAAGCAGCAGTGTGAAAGAAAATAAGGAGGAACTACAAGTGGCACCTTCTAACCACACACCTTTCATTGGACAGAAGAGATGTAGTCAAAAGTGCATAAATATGATAACGGTTACATAATTATTGCTGTGAATAGAATATGTGAAGCAGCGTGAAGAAATCAGGCACTTGTCAAAATTATGAAATTTAAGAAACTGGCATTTTTCTGGCAGTTTGGCACTTTTTATTTAATTTTTGTTTCTTTTTGCTTCACACCATTGTTGTCCAATTAAGAACCCATTTCTGGGTGAATATTACAGAAAAACATTGATTACGAGCACAAAAAATGTAAGTTTTCAGTTTCCATGGACTATCAAGCTATGGAAATAACCAAAACTTTGGTGGCCATTTTTTCGCTTATTATACCTTTGAAACCAAGCGACCCCACCTTCTTCAGACTAAAATATTTTGACTTCTATTCAAGATAGATCAGTATTTTTTTCACTGATAGCAAGACAACTGAACAAGCTTTAAGATGATACCAATAACTCCACATGCCCAAAAATTGACAAGCGCCTGATTCCACCACATCGTGACACAATGTAAACGACAGAAAAATTTTCTTCTCTAAAATTGTCTCCTTTCACCTCCTTTCCTGCTCTCTAGCAATGTTCTGTCGTCTGCTTTCATCTCCACTTTCTGTTCCCACCCCCTCACCTTCTTTGCCCCCTCCTCTGGGCTCCTGACTCTTTCTGCAGCCTTTCTACTGCTACTCCTTGGCTCCTTCTTACCGTTGTCTTTCAGCCACACCCCTGGTCTTCTAGTAGGAAAGATCAACACCTAGTCTTCTCGGACAAGGGGGGAAAATCTCGGAGGTCCCGTGTGCAAGTTGCACACGTTAAAGACCCCTTGGAGGTCTAAAATCAATAAGATAGGCTTCGGCCGCCACCCGGGCAAAATTCTAAATTTCCTACCAACTGAAAATGTTTGGTATGTCCCGCGCACTCATATAACCTTATTTGGCCCCCAGAAAATTGCTGCGGCCGCATATTTCGTCGAGTTTCACAATAAACCCGCAATTTTTCGCAATTTTCGCAATTTCTTGCAAAAATACAGAATTTTGAATACGAAATGGTGCCAGTACGGAGTAAATCATGATATCGGCCCAGCTCTAGCCTACTGGGCCCTACTCTAGACGCTATAACCGGAAATTCAGGCCGGAATACAAACACAACTCGACAAAGAAATGGAAAGTGCCACAAACTGAGACATAGATCTAAGTCTGTGTATAAAAGCATGCACGTGTGATAGAGTTGGGGCGAGCGGACGGACGGGTTTGTTACTCGCGGACTCAGTCAGAGCGAGCGGACTGCGAACCTCATGACAGTTAATTTTTTGGGTCCGCCCCACAATTTTACTCTCTTAGTGAGCCGACTGCGGACCTCAAGCCTCAAGTCAGTTCGTTTTTAGGGGTCCGCTACACAATTTTATTCACTGAGCAGGCGGGCGAATGGACGAACTCTAGCAGACGAGTTACTCTGCGCGCGGTTAGGCCTATTGTTTGTTAATTAGGTCTAGTGTTTCAAACCACTAGCGGTGCCACTGGGAGTGAGAGAAGCTGGTGACGTAGTACTATGTGTGTAACCTTTCACCTCGTGTGGGGTCTCACCAGAGAGGGTCTCACTGTATATGTTGTAATTATCGCGAAGGTGAAGTTTAAAAATTCCCAAAGGCCTTTTTGGGGTGGGGAAGGTAGAGAAATTTCCGCCATGTGCGCCTAGCTATAATGTGGGGCAGGAGGGTGATTTTTTTCGGGAGCGGGTGCAAGTAGACTAAGTATGCAATGGAAGGAGTCGCTCCCCGTCCGTCCGTCCGTCCGTCCGCCTGATCGAATGCATGGAGTCTCTCGGTCTGTCCGTCCGCCCGCACGGCCGCTCGCTCCCTAAACAAACTGTTGTCTTTGTCCGATGTGTAGCAAGTAGCGAACTGCTCTTCACAAGCGGACGGCTCGTTACCCGTCCGCTCATTTGCGGGTAGAGCCAGCAAGTAGTTCGTTACTCACAGACGCTGATTTATCGAGCCCGACCCAACTCTAGTGTGTGATAAGCAAGTCGGTGTGAGGTGTGCATGTGTGTGTGCATGTAAGTTGTACGTGGGAGAGAAAGAAAGAGAGTGTGTGTGTGTGTGTGTGAGAGAAACCTAAGATCATCAAACGATAACACCCTACTTGTGACACCTGCAAAATCATACAAATCATATGGAGAGAGATTTTTCTCATATCTTGGTCCATTTGTGTGGAACAGTTTACCCATGAAACTAAGACAAATAAGAGCACTTGATAGCTTCAAAAGACATC